TGATAAACTTAGAAATGACGATATCCGCAGTAGAACCAGAGTGACCGACATAGCCCAATGGATTAGTAAGCTGAAGTGGCAATGGGCCGGCCATATAGCTCGAAGAACCGACAACCGATGGGGGAAAAAGGTTCTCGAGTGGCGGCCTCGTACCGGTGGACGAAGTGTAGAGTGTCCCCCCACTAGACGGAGTGACGACTTGGTAACTTGGCTTGACTTGGCAGGAAGTCGATGGATGCAGGTGGCTCAGGACCGTGCTTTGTCGCATTGCTTGGGGGAGGCCTATGTTCAGCAGTGGACTAGTGAAGGGCTGTATGATGATGATGATGATGAAATGATGGTGCAGAGTCCCCATACACAGCGTCCAACTAATCTTTGAATTGCGTAGGCGTATTGCCTTTCAAAAACAAAAATTTAATGACGGCTCGATACTCAATTTTTTGCCATTTTCACAAAAACACTCACATCAAATAACAACCACAGACTAACTAGTAGTAACAACTACGTGTCCAAAGTGCATGAAATTTTGGTGCGTAACTGTCAAAAAATGCACAACTACATTCACTGGGTTTTGTTGACGAATGATGTCATCTTCAAGTTGAGGTCGGAAACTTTTCAGACCACCTCGGTATTTTGTGTACGGATACGTGCTGTCCACATACCACAAATATTTAATTAGTCTCCAACTCCAATCCTAAATCTACCTCTGACAACATTCTGATTTCTGTGGTTGCTAATACTCTATTAGTTATTGTTTTAAAAATAAAATGAACGTTTCTAGAAACATCTAACAGCTTGTAGTACAAGGGTACAAGTAGGCCTTGGGCTCGCAAATCCGCCTGGCCAACAACGTGGCGTACCTAATTTTAAAAACACCTATATTCAATAGTCGATTAAGAAACACTGTTAAGAAGAAGAAGAATTAAGAAAAGAAACAAAAGAGAAGATAAATTATTGCTAGTATTTAATATATGTGTATATATATATATATATATATATATATATAAAAAGATAAGTTTTCTAATTATTTTGAATTTTACAGATTTGTGTGCCGAGCCTAGTGCTGTCTTATGGAGTGCTGTGGGTTCACCTAGTGAATCTAGAAGTCCCATTGTGGCTCGGTTTTTCTACGCCGACGATTTTTCTCCTCACCTACGGTTTTACACGTACGGATTTTTGTAAATTATTAAATACATTGTTATAGATACTATATGAACTGTTTTTATAACATTTGAGTGACGGACGAGCTAACTGCTCTACCCTGATGCATGCTATGAACACTTGCTACCAACTTTAAGCAAAAAAACTTTAGGTATATGGGTATTTAATGAATATGCACTTTTGAAAGCGATGGAACTCTACTCAATAGCTTTTTTATAAGATAGGCTGACAAACGAACACAGTCCACCTGATGGTAAGTGGTTGCTGTGACCCATAGACATCTACATCTATCCTCAATAAAGAATCAAAGTGCAGATGCGTTGTCACCCGTAAGGACTTAGATGGAATGCCTCTTTTCCAGTAAAAAGGGTCTCCGGTTCCCTACACTCACCATACGACAGCAGTGTTAAAATCTATTTTACGCTGGTATTCTGTGAGAGCGTGGTCCTTCCCCGGTCAAGCCGACCCATTCTTGCTATAACTATACTATTAATATAGCAGCAGCATGGCTCTACCACGTTTAAAGCGTTAAATGTATTTTTATTAACAACTAGCGCCCCGCCCTGCCTTCATTAGCCCCACTGTCACACTTGCCTCAGTCTACCATACATAATAAATAAATATATAGATAGAAATTGAGTAGGTACTAAATACCTAAGTGATAAAATTTGTTGACTAACAAACAAGAGCGGATGATGGCAGAAATCCGTTCCCAATTCCAAGTTTGAACGAGACCAGCATTAGCAGTTAGAGGCTATCTGCTCTGCATTCACTAACTCGCCGCCTCAGCGTACTTACAAGCAACACTTATAAGAACTATATGTTTTGCATGCCTTAAGCGCTAAGCGCGTCGGTATGTTCTACTAGGGCTTAAAAATTAAGATTCCATCGTTTTGTCGCATGAGATCGTATTTTAGAATTACTTACTTTTTAGTGTTAATTTAAAATTTTCCAGAATGCTGGTTCCGTGAGGCGGCAGACTCATGGGGCGGATCAGTCGGATATCGTGTAATGGCCGCCATTGGACTTACGGTGGTCGTGGTTAGCTTGGTCATTTGTGCGTTTATACCATTATATTTACATCCAATCATATATGGTGTTTTAGGCGGTAAGTAAAGGATTAATTAATTCATTAAATAACGAATTGTAGATATCAATATTCTCTGTAAATTTGTAACGAGCCTAACTTATTTTTAGGTTTGGGGTCATCTTTAATATCAGCCCAAGTGGACGCTGTAATCTTCGAAACTTATGACAGTCGTATAGGAATAATTCGAGGAATATGTTGCACTGGTCAAGCAGTTGGACAATCTTTATTTCCTCATATTATATCAGCTCTAACAAATTATTATGGATATTCATTTTCGTTTATAGTTCTTGGCGGAATAATGCTTCAAGCGATGCCAGCTGTCTTCTTACTTAAAATCGATGAAAGTATTAGAAAATCTACTTCTTACTCCAGGACCGCAGATTTGTACAAAAGTTTTACAGGATTTCATAATGACTGTGTTGATAATTACTATACTGCAGAGTTACAATTACACGATTTAAGTAAAAAATGTTGGAAAAGTCCATCGGACGATAATTTACATCGGGAGGACGATGAGGTTGGGGAAAATACTGAAGTAGTTGGAACAATAACACCTCCACCTAGTCCTGAAGAAAGAAGAAGAAATATTTTCGGTATAGATATTTTACCGGATATACCAGAAGAAAGTGAAGAGAGCGAAGAAGATATTGAACAAAGAATTCCTGGCAAGGAAATGTCAAATAGTCAAAGACGTTTAAGTATTGCAATCAAAAGACTGAACACATTAGGTGACAATTTAGACGATTACATTACAAAGCAAACTAAAAGAGATTCTGAAGATGATAGTAGTGGTCATGACGGTAAAGAATATTCTGAACTAGAAGTGACTTACGATAACATATCACCGATAACAGATATTCATAGGGAAAAACTATTTAATTCGTTCAGTTTTCGATGTCAATCTACTATTACAAATATAAAAAGACGAATTTGGATACCGTCGTATAGAATGTATAGAGTACGACGAAGACTATTATATGTGATATATAGTATTAATGACACTTTTACAAAACCGTTGACGAGGTCACTTTCATGTTGGAAATTTTATCCAGCACTATTACTCAGTTTTGCTAAACTTTGTTTGACCGCAGTGTCTCTGATGTTACTTCCAATGATAGCGCAGCAAGTGAGGCCAAATATTTCTATGTTTGAGACAAATTTTCTTATGTCCTTACACGGATTTACATGGATATGTTTTTTATCGAGCACTCCATGGTTGGCACAAACACCTAAAAGAAATTTCAAGTACGTCGCCGTAATTGGATTAATAGTAACAACTACTGCGTGTTTCGGTAGGTTTCAATATATTTCATTATTTGCATCCGATTTTCATAATATGACTAACATTAACGATTAAGTATTTTTTAAGTTTTTGCAGAAACCAATAATCATGACACATTTGCAATTGGTTGTGTGATATCTGGGTTTGGATATGGCGCTGTTACTTCATGTTGCGATACTGCTATTCAAGATTTTGTAGGAGCAAGAAAATGGCCTAAAGTTCACAGTACACTTGAAACGCTATCTGCATCGCTATTAGCCCTTTTCGTAACAGGTTTATCCCTCGTTATGGGTCAGGAGGGTGGTTTCAATTATTCAATGTTTATAATGGGCATTATTATGTTAGCTATCACGATTGTTTGGTCGATTCTAGCAACTATAGCTTTATACGAAACTAAACTTAGATACATTAGACCAGGTCGTCGTTGGTTGTTATAACAGAAAATAATGTATAATAACTTCCTCAACAATCCTCACAGTTTGATTCAAAGCTATTCAGATATTTTATAAAAATACATAAAAATATCATGATCGCATAAAGAGAAATGCGAATATTGACTGCACTTGATTTTGTTTAAATAATCTAAAGAAAATATTTTAGTACTTTTCATTCAAATACTTTTACTTACTATAATAGTGGTTAGAAATAACATGGATTATATTTAGAAAAAAAAAGTGGTCGTTTTTGCCACTTGTGATATTTTTGAATATGACAGTAACTATATTATTTTGTAGTAATAATTAATTTATAAAATAGAATGTTTAAAAACAGCACATTTATGTTTTTTATTTTTTCGATTTAAACAACGAAAAGCTAAATTTTAAATATTATATTAATAAATAAATATATAATAAACCCATTTAAAATTGATGGCATTCATACAGCCTGTATATGCATACAGTTTATATACGTCTCATTCCTGCCCAGGAGTGTGACGTATACAGGCTCTAACTTTATTAGCTCTACTTTATAACATATTTTGCCAAACAGGTTGAATTAATGCATTTTATTAGGTTAGGGTAAAATCTAAAATATGTTTAAACAATGATATTGCATGGATGATAATGGATGCAAATAAGGTCATTCACAGGGAAGAAATTTACAACTATTTCATTTTATTGAATCAATAGTAAAGTTTATCAAACCTTTTAAAGAATTACGATATACTTTTAAATTTTATTAACAATGTAAATAAACGTGATGATCGCAAGCATAAGATTGTTACGAGTATGTATAAATATGTTATGTGTATTGATATAAATTTTATATTATCAAAAACATTGTGGATGTTCTGTGTATGAATATTTGCGGGGGAAAATAATCGAGATTGAAAGAATTATGATGTCGACAACATTTCTACAATGTCGTCCTAATCTTATAACAGTGTGAAATGTAAATAAGATGTTGTTGTGCTAACAACTCTCTTACGCGGCAATTGATATTATCTAAGATCAACAGAAACATGCCATTCTACTGAAAACTAAACTAGATAAAGGACAAGTGTAACAAAATACAATAGGGCGTGAACTAAAAACAACATTGGTTAGAAATGAGGCTATGGATTTATTCAAGAGAAAAAACATGGATAATATATTATTATTTTTAACACCGGTACGTATATTTTTATTAGAATACTATAATAGTATAAGGAATCAATGTAACACTAGAGCTGGGTGCACCCTTCAGTTTTATAGTATTCGCACAATCCCCAGTGCACACCGTTGAATTGATTAACTAAAATTTTAAGATATGCGTGATCGGACACGGAAGAAATAAAAGTCATAGTTAGACATTACGTAGTGAAACATGAGCGGCGGTTTTAATCACTGATTTATTAACAACAATGGCGTTATTTACAAATTAAAGATACCAATATACCCAACCCAAAAATATATTTCGAAGATGTGCAAAATCCATAAATTCACATAGTGGTAAATTCTGCTAGCTCCATCTTCCCTCAAAAAAGAGGAGCTGTCTTTATTGTAGGAGATTAATAGGCTGTTAGTTGTATAAATGTTAAGTTCATTTGGTAGAAACAATGCATTTTTGTTCCAGCTGCTGTTATATCCTCTTTTAATTGAAGCAAAGAATATAAATTGCAATAGTAAGTCATTTCATTGTGTGAATTCGACCCATTTCATGATATGCGTAGATTTGGGAGGGGGAGTATCTATGACAATTGACAGTTTTGTTATACGATGCCCACCTACGACATTTTGTCAAGAAACAAACTATTTTGAATGTGAATATCAAGCATCGACAACTCAAAAGACCAAATTTGACGTAACGAACGGATTTGCAGACACAAATACATTAACGGCTACTACAGAAACTATTTCTTCTGAGGTATATCAAGTATACATTAACGGTGTAAATAATGCTGTAACAGAATTAGTTCCCAATGAACTGGACAGTGAAGCGATTAAAGTGCAAGGTGGGCTTTACAATATAAACGAAATTCAAACTAAAAATGTAAATATGTATGAAGATTTAGTGAATATTGATAATATAAAGATCAATAATGTATTTCAAGGAAATCTTCAAAACTCTAGTGTTTATGATTTATACAGTATAGAAATGGAATTAGAACAAAATAAAAGTATAATTCAAATTGCCCAAAATAATATGACTAATACTCAAGTAAATGATTCTGTATATTCTATGAAAAAAGTAATAAACAATAATACGAAAAAGCTTTTATTCAATGGAACGGAAAATACAGGCCAACTAAAATTAAATTTTGATCCAAGTGGTGTTGGTGATGTACAAAGTGACAAGCCAATAGATTTATTAACAACTTTGGATAATACTATTATTACGCCTAGAGATAACATAGTTTTTGAAAATATAACAATAGTTAATGAGCTAAATTTAGAGCATACAATGATATCTGGTCCAATAGTTACAAAAATGGATTTAGGTGAAAATATAGGGAATACAGTCTTATCTAACACAAGTTTGTACACTGCAAAGGAAAGCGTTGTAAAAATACCAGTTAACGACAGTGATAGCAATAATGCTCGAAAAAATGAATCAGCATTCGAAACTGGTATTGATAACGAACTTGAAAACAACATCCAATTACCTTCTTTGAATTTGGACGTATATACACAGTCGCAGAATAACACATTTGAAATTTCTGAACCACCAATTGATTTAAATATTAAACCTGCACTCACAACTACGTCAGACATGTTAAGCGATACTATTATTGCAGAAACATTTTCATTTGGAATGTATGAGACAAATAACAACAGGTTGAATAATATTACAACACCATCTGTTTTTAAGGGTGACTCTATGACCATGAAACACCAAATTCTTGAAAATACTCAAGTAACAAATCCATACAGAATAGAAATGGATTTGAGAGTATACAACAAAAGTGTATTTAATTATCCAATAAATATAACCAACACTAATATTGAAAATTTAGTTCATTTAAATGCGAAGAAAGTATTGACAAACCAACATATAAAAGAATTATTATCCGAAGGAACGGAAAACGTAAGTTCAGAAAACCTAAATTATGAATGGAATAGTATTGGTGAATCGCATGTATTATCCATGACGCCGGAAAATATGTTTACTACACAAACAAATTACACAACTATTCAATACATTACATCAGATAGTGAACCTATTTTAGAGCTCACAACAATATCTAACCCAATAGTTTCACCAACTCATTTAGAAGAAAATACATCGTATGTTATATCTGACACAAATTTCAGTGAGACTTTTACGAACATGGGAATGTTTTTTCCTGGAGGGCAGGAAACAGAAATTAATGGTGGGAATAATGATCCAATAACATTTGTTGCAGGAGACAAATCTACAAACACTAAAACTTACAAAGTGGAAGGTGGACTTAACGATGTAATTAAAACTATATATAACGTTAATACTTCCGACGACATGATATATGCTAATAACTTAAAGAATAAAAATATTCTACAAGAAAATCATAAAGACGCTAGTATTTTAGATTCACACAATATAGAAATGAAATTAAAAGAACGAAATAAAAATAGTTTTAATATTGCACCAAATAATATAATTACAACTCAGGTAGAACATTCACTAGATTTAAGTTTACGTTCTAATAAAATATTAATAAATAGCCATAGTCATACGAAAGAATTTTTATCCAATAAATCAGACATTATAAGTCATCAAAAATTGCGAATTGATGCGTTCACCACAAATAAAAATAATATTTCAAACGAAGAATTTCGAACCGCAGCTAAAAGTACTACCTCCAAATCAGTTGTTGTCTACAAAGCAAAGACAGATTTACCATATATATTAAAAATTGTTACTGCAAATACTGAAAGTAGTAATAAAGAAGTTTTAAAATTAAATACAAATACGGATAGAACTATGGGTCTTAGAGCCGTGGACAATCCATACGTTACAGAAAACTTCACTGAAATCAATTTCGCGACATTAAATTCTGAAAACAATGAGACACTTAAAAAAAATGTAACTAACACAAGTGATCAAAAAAATTTAAAAGTTTCAGAAATGGTGATAAAGCAAAACTTTGCTAAAAACACGACTACATCTCCCATTAAAATATTTCTGTCAAAAAATAATGAAGCAGAAGAGAAATATACAAATAAAGGAATAGAGAACATACATAATGTTGAGAAAAAAATATATCAACCCACTTCTGAAAAATCGATTGTTAGAAATAGCAAGACAAGGGAATTTCTTTTAATTGCAGATAGAAAATGCAAAGAAAAATCTTATAATAAAAGCAAACATGCTATTGAATATGCCATTCAAAGCACATTGGAAACACCTATTTATTTGTTAAACACGAGTGGCGAAACGTATACAAAAGAGCGTGTGAACCAAGAAATTAATATAATAAAGAATATTGCCCATTCCTTTGTTGAAACATCTGGCATAGCAACGTCAAACACACCTATTGCTATCAATAATACATCTGACAAGAAACTGTATGACACTAAAATTGGGGAACAAGAAAATCATAACGAAATATCAACATCTTTAAGTAGTTCCCTAACTGACACGTTTACAGTAATTAATCAGACGGAAGAAAACTATAAACCTGTAAAAGAAAGAAATTCGATTATTTTAAGCGACAGCAGGTCCAACACTATTGCAAATTTAACTCAATCCTTCTCAGAAAAATCAACTTCTATAGTTAATAGAAGGCAAGATACATTAATGAACGTTAGGGACAATCAAGATACAACAAGTGACATCTTGACAATTCCCTTCACAATTACAGATGAGAAAAACCCAAGGACGTTAATAACTGAACAACCATTTGAAATTTCGAATTTATCAACACTGTTAGAAGCAAATGATTCTGTACCTCAGGTATTATCTAGTCAAGCTAAACTAAGTATATTTGATAATAAATTATCAAAAATGCTGGATATTGTAAAAAATAGAAGAAATATAACATTACCGAGCGACGGTGAATATAATTTGACCCAATTAGATGAATATATAACGAGCGATAAGACAGGAGATACAGAAAATAATAATCTTTTAACACAACAACAATTTTCAGATATAACTACTTCCCTGCCTAACACTCAAAAAAGTTCTTTAATAAAATACGCGCCAACTACGCTCTCCGTAACTGTTAATGTATTAACTGGCGTGAATACTCAGGTAGAATCCAAAAAAATATCCACGATATCACAATATTATGATGTCTTTGTAGATAGTAATAAAAAAATTAACACACTGTCAAACAAAACGTTGAAACAATATTGTTTAAATGATACAATATCAAATATAAGTCTGAAAAATAAACTAACAGCAACTGAAGCCAATTATAAATCGACAAGAGACAGCGTTGAAACTACCAATAAACTTTTGACTACTATTAATAAAATAAATAACTCATATGATGAACATAACCCTACTGAGCTAGTACTAAAATATAAGCAACAGATAATACCTACCGATAAAAGCTATTTTGCGGTCAACCCTTTTGTTTATGGCTATGAAATTAATTTAACATCTGAAGGTAATTTTAATAACGTAAGTACAAAAATACAAAGTAAAGAAGATAAAATCAGCGATGATAGAAGCTTTTCCTATTTTACACTTTATAATAACGTTTCTAAAAGTGATACGATTTACAATAATGATCTTGTGAAATCTGTTAAAGGTAGAAAAATAATCACTTCGATTAAAACATCTCGAAATCATAAGCAGTTGTTGCCCAATACCTTAGAAAGCGTCGAATTGGACGACAGTTCAAAAGTTAATAAACCCATATTTAATTTTAATTGTCGAAACCGTTCACGAGGTAGATTTGCAGATGAAGGTAACTGCAGGAAGTTCTATATTTGCATAGGTATCGTTGCACCTATTCTTGGACTATGTCCAATAAACACAGTATTTAGTGAATTTCAACAACAATGTACAAGGAACTTATCGCACTGCGTTAGAAAAAATCAATTTCAATGTGTTAGTGAAGGCAGATTCATTGATGTGTGGGAAGATAATATTTATTATATATGTGTTAAAGGTACAGATCACAGGTTCATAAGATTTAAATTGCAGTGTCAAAACGGTTATCGCCTGGATAAAATGAGTTTAACTTGTAAAAATGTTAAAGAAATTATTAAATTATCATCCTCATCATTGTCATCATCTTTATACGATGAAGATAATAAAAAGATAAGTAAAACTATTACAAAGAAGAGAACTGATAAGAACTTGTTTATAAATAATGAAAGCTTTAAATGTGAAAAAGAAGGAAAGTTTTCAGATCCAAGCAACTGTAGAAGATATTATGTGTGTACGAAAACTTCTAAATCGATTCTACGTCGTAAAAGAAAAAGCTGTGATTCATACGAGGTTTTCGACAAAGATAAAAATAAATGTGTCGATCAAGATAGTCATGAATGTTGATAAACTTAAATTTGATGACAAGTTGCCCGGATTGGTATGGATAGTTAGCAATAAAATAGTGTTAAGTAAAATAAAATTAAGTAATTATTTAATTTATTTAATTTAGTAAAATTTACAATTAACACATAGGTTAACGTTTTCTTTTTTATGTTAAAAGGCATGTTCAGTCTTATTTAAAGTAAATATAATTATGAATTTCTAATTATGTGTTTATTTGTTTACTACAAAAGACCTGGGTTTTCGATAAGCTGCACCTGTTGGTTGAATAAAGGAGTCCTTTTCGTCTCTCTCTAATGTTATGCAGAACTGGTTGGAGAAAATTGTACATCGAATAGCGGACTCTCCTCTGACCGGACGTGTTGGACAAAAATATTTAGCGCGAACGGGACTTTTGTCTTGTGTTACCGCAAATTTGTAATTTTTACAGTCAATAGGTCTGCCCCAGTGCGAATTCATATCTAAATTATCAAAGTTATTATTTCTAGTGTTTGTGTCCATTCTACGATTATCCTGGTGATATAAGGTGGACGTTGTTTTCGTAATATTCGTCATTGGACATTTATACGTATCAGGAGAAGAGCATGTCCGAGTGTAACCATTAAAAATAGTTGTTCCAGAGCATTTAAACTTGATACCTTGAAATCGGTTTTTGTTAGGTATACAAAGAATATATCCTTTGCAATCGGCGACACTTGGATCAGCAATTCTTTCATTACGGTGACACCGTACCGTGCGACTTATTGCAGGATCAATATAGTTTATTGTATTTTCGCAGACATCACTCGAGTCCTCGTTGCATACAGTATTTGCTGGACAATTGAAAGCAGGTCCTAATAAGTTGTCGCCCTCACAAAGCCTTAATTTAGTTGTACCTTCGCACACGAAGCCGTACGGTCCACAATCGAAGCTTTGCTTCAAAAACGCTACTGTCGGTTCATGGTGTGAAATTAGAATCTGTAAGAAAAGATTATTCTTAAATTGTATGTGGTAATAGTATTGAGAGCACATACTACGGTTGCCAGAAGGATGCGGGTAGCCGCAAATGTAATTCTTAGTAGCGACAAGTATGTGAAAAGAGTTCAATTTTCTAACCTATTACAGTTTTCGCCTGGTGGCAACACTTAGGTTATGTTGAAGGATGAATAATAAAGAGGGCATCCACAACTTCTGCCGCCAAATAAAAACGCCGCGGTTGCCAATCCAAAACCCAGCAAACTATGGCAAAATCCCTCTTATGAGACAATCCATGAGGGAGGCTTATGTTCAGCAATGGACTTTTATAGGCTTTATTGATAACAGAAATATATTTATATAATATAAACCTCTTTGAATTATTAAACAAATAATTCTAAAATTTGATACTAACTGTCCGATCCGTACGATGCGTGCCTGTGGACGCGAACCGTGACCTTTCCCTTTAGAACTTTAGATTTACATGATGTTCTATTCTAATAATGCTTAATACATAATCGTTTATACATATTATGCTATATAGTATTATGTCATAATTATTTTCTGAATAATGGTTCCAACTGGATTAGAAGTCTCTTATAGTGAACGTCCTTACTTCTGCATAGAATCGATAAAATTGATTGGAAAAAGCAGACCGGTGACCGATGAGGACTCAAATGCTTGCATAAATATTTATGACATAATAACTGTATTGAAATTAACTCTTTAAAATTAAATATAATTACCCAACATCGTTTTATATTGCGAAATTTAAACTATAGTTTTAGATCCTTCTAGGGTATAAAGAAATGCGTAAAAAATGTTCATTTGAAATCCAATACATAATAGATCAGCTCAGCATTTTTAATGAAAATTAATAATAATTCAGTTTGATTCTTGATAATTAATCAACTTTCTAGTAAATTAAAGTACTTACCGTATAAAACAAGAACTTGTAATATTCTAACATTTTAACACAAATAATCGATGTCTATTGTTATTTTCGCTAATTCGCTCTCACAAAGTATAGGCTTCTCGTAAGACGCGCGAAAGATGACTAACTAAGTATTGAGTTTTCTTCCAAAGTCGCTATTTCGCGGGTAATTATCATTTTTAACACCTCTCGAACGTGGAGAAATGAGTCCGTGTCACTGGGACATTGTGCGACACCTTTTCTATTATATTTGAATGTTTGTAACGCTAAACACGCTAGCGGTCAAGATAATAACCGTGGAAAACAAATAATGTTAGAACCTACGAATTAACATAGACAAATTATTATTTATCAATTATTTTAATTGATTCAATGTTGTATGACGAATTTTATAAAATTACATCAGTTCTAGGAGCCTGAACGATTTAGTAGTTGCAGCCCAGTAATATCCGCAAGTATAACGCAAGAAAACTAAGCAAAACTTACAGATTTTTATACGTGGTACAGCCATGCTGTAGCTATATTAATTGTATAGTTGAAGCACGAATGGGTCGGCTCGACTGGGGCACACAATACTAGCGTAAAATAGCAGCTTAATGCTGCTGTGTTTCGTATGGCGAGTGTAGAGAACCGGAGACCCTTTTTACTGGAAAAGAGGCATTCCATCTTAGTCCTCACGGCTGACAACGCTTCTGCATTTTGATTCGCAAACGAAGATAGATGTACACAGATGTCTATGGGCTACAGCAACCAGTTACTATCGGGTAGACTGTGTGCTCGCTTGTCAGCCTTATCCTATAAAAAAACGGTACCGCCTAAGTAGTTCTGTGCCATTATAATCCATTTCTTACGAAGGTCAATTGATAAGGAACTATAGACGATGCTAGAAACGCTAAGCTAATAGTAACTAATAATCTACTAACTAACTAACTAACTAATTCGACGGCTCCGTGGCGCAGTGGCTTAAAAATAAGTTGTTACGCTGGGGGCCGCGGGTTCGAATCCCGCACGGAACAAGTATTTGTATGGCCTACAAATATTGTTCCGGGTCTGGATGTTTGTCCTCGTGCAATTTATATTTGTAAACTGCCTCCACGATACAGGAGAAACTCCTAGTGTGGTGGTAACGTTTTTAGAAAAGAAAAAAAACTAATAGCATTAGGTTTCAAGGCCTATGGTCAGCAGTGAACTTTTGATAGGCTGTAATGATGATGATGATGATGATGAATGCTACTTCAGAATAATTTTCCTTATTTAATACCACTGCTGAAGATAATTAATAAAGTTAATGGAGATAATGGTAGCAATGTACATTATGATCATCATAATCATTACAGCCCTTCACAAGTCCACTGCTAAACATAGGCCTCCCCCAAGGAATGCCACAAAGCACGGTCCTGAGCCACCTGCATCCATCGACTTACTGCATGTCTTACCAGTCCGTCACTCCATCTAGTGAGGTGTCGATTTAATACGCGCACCACAACAATCGTAAGGATATTTAACGAAGGTCGTATCCGAGGCGTGCAAAGTATTATGAACTTTTATGCTTTAAATCTTGATCTGTTCCTTGAAATGATCCTTCTGTTCTTGTACTATTATTTATTCTGTGTTATAAGTAGTTTGTTGCCCTGTACAGAGAAATAGAGGGCATGCAAGTAGATAAAATGTATATCATTAAATAATTTATTAAGTAAAATAATAACAGTGACTGAAAAAGTGAACGTGTCCGATAAAATAAATTAATTTTTATTATACATTTTAATTTAGCCATATAGTTTGAAGAACCGACAACCGACGGGGAAGAAAGGTTTTCGAGTAGCAGCCTAGTACCGGCAGGCGAAGTGTAGGGCGTCCCCCCACTAGATGGAGTGACGACCTGGACAAACGGGACGTCGATGGATGAAGAAATGGAGGGCGGGGTTTAGTCTACTCCTAATTCTCACATTTTTACATTATCAGTAGTTAGATTAATACCTATTCTGCTTTCCTGCCCCGCGAGCACTTTGGCGAATGGCTCTGGGGGAGAGCGTAGGTCGTGTTGATCCCCAAGGCAAGTCTGAGGAGTTCTTCCTTCACGTAGTAGCTGCCTGTTATTTGGTCTGGTTGAATAGGAAACAGACAGAATAGAAACACTCAGACGATCCTCATTTTTTTTCCATACCGAGCTCTGGAAAATCCTCCACCGTAGGTACGAGGAGAATGGGTTCCTAGTAACCTTTTCTCTGGACGACACATCGGCGGAGGCTCTCCGAGCGGCAGGCGGCAGAGTCATCCTTGGCTTTAAAAATGATAACTTTTGAGGTCAGGGGAGGCTCTGACACGGCAATGGAGCCTGAACTCCAATCCCCCCAGCCCTCCACTTCGAGGAGTGAGACTGGAACGACATCAGCGAGAGTGATTGTGACCCAAGGCGCTGATCTTGCCTCGGTCCGAGGGCCTCCGCTGGTATCAGCCAGGGGTAAGGGGAAGGGAGGTGGGAGCGGTAAACCAAAAGGAACAGCGAGAGTCAAGAGCGCCGGTAAAGGACGTCTTCTTCTTAAGTCCTTTCTACGGTGTAGAGCCATGCCGCAGCAACATTAGTAGTATAGTTGTAACACAAATGGGTCGGCTCGACCGGGGAAGGACCACGCTCTCACAGCAGCGTAAAGTGGCGGCTTGACACTGCTGTGTTTCGTATGACGAGTGTAGAGAACCGGAGACCCATTTTACTGGAAAAGAGGCATTCCATCGTAGTCCTCACGGGTGACGACGTATCTGCATTTTAATTCTTTATTGAGGATAAATGTAGATGTCTATGGGCTACAGCAACCAGTTACCATCAGGTGGACTGTGTGCTCGTTTGTCACCTTTCCAATAAAAAAAAAGTAGGCGAAAACGACCCCTGCTCCCCACGCCTATAAATGACTAATCCCAAGGGTAAGACGAGGGTTCTCCTGGTAAATCTTCACCATGCAGCAGCTGCTTCTGCCGTGGGAGAGGTTTGCTTCACAGAGGACAACATCGATCTCTCCCTCATACAAGAGCCTTGGGTGGCCAACGGTCAAGTTCTGGGATTGTCGGCTGCCGGTAAGATCTTAGTCAATACTAAAGGTAGTAGACCCAGAGCTTGTATAATATAATCTACAATAAAAATATTGAACTTTTAGCTGTTCCAGAGTATTGCAATGACGACCTGGTATGCTATATATCCCTTATACCAGCCTTTATAAATATTAAGGGATGCACAGGGGCCAGAGTAATCATTTGCTCAGCCTATCTTCCCGGAGAGAACCCAGATCCTGCCATCGAGTTAGAGTGAGTGGCGGAGTTCGCCCGTAAGCTCACCGCCGAACTTGTGGTGGGATGTGATGCTAATGCTCACCACACAGCATGTGGAAGCATTAACATCAATGAAAGAGGTGAGTTACTTTTTGAATATCTCATATCCAATCGTCTGGTAAGCCTACACTTAGGGTGTACACCAACCTTTGTAACGCGTGCTAGGCAGAAACTTTTAGATATAATCTTTGCTACCAATAACATATCCAGGCGGATTACTGACTGGCATGTTAGTAGTGAAAACTTGATGTCTGATCACAGACACATTAGGTTTGTGATTAGAGCATCACCAACTTATGAAACTGTTGCTTTTAGGGATCCAAAAGCGACCTTCTGGGATGTCTATAGATATAGCCTAAGGAGGAATTCGGAAACGTTTTCTAAAAGCATAAAAACGATTGAAGGTCTGGAGTTAGCGGCGGAGACGGTAACCGTAGGTATCCCTGAAGCCTTCGGAGACAGTTGTCCCGTCAAATACAAGAACTCAACACGAAAAGTTCCTTGGTGGAACACAAAGCTAAATCAGCTTAGGGAAAAGACCAGGAGTCATGTGAGGAAGTTGAGTCTTTACCTCGCAGTGCAAGACTACACAAAATGCTATGGGAAGTTAAACCTAATCAGATCGGGCTTCTTAAAAAGTCTGATGGTAACTTCACTAATAGTGAAACGGAAACACTGGAGCTACCAGCGTCAACCCATTTCCCAGGGTCATATACGTGGTAGAGCTATGCTGCAGCTATATTAGTAATATAACTGTAGCACGAATGGGTCAGCTCGACCGGGGAAGGACCACGCTCTCACAGAATACCAGCGTAAAATAGCAGCTTAACGCTGCTGTTTCGTATGCTGAGTGTAGAGAACCGGAGACCCTTTTTACTGGAAAAGAGGCATTCCATCTCAGTCCTCACGGGTGGCAACGCATCTGCATTTTGATTCGTAATCGAGGATAGATGTAGATGTCTATGGGCCACAGCAACCACTTACCATCAGGTGGACTGTGTGCTCGTTTGTCAACCTTATCCTATAAAAAAAAACATATGACTCTGGCCTCGAACTCTTTCAGAGCCCTACGAAGGCCTTGTAATGAGAACTGGTGTAGGGCTGCAAAGATAATAAGGCCAAACCTGGTGCAGTGGGCTGTTGACCCCTTTAAACCATATGAGATAAATAGGGAGGATGGAATAATGAATCTACAGAGGGGTATCGATATCCTTCTTTCTTGTCTGGTGAAAATCTTCAGAGCAAGTTTTGCATGGAGATATATTCCAGAACGATGGATAATTGTCTAAATTCTATTTATACCTACGGCTGGTAGAAAGGATTACGCTTTATCAAAGTCCTTCATACCTATAAGTGTTTCTTCTTCTTAAGACATTGGAAAAGGTTATCGATAGATATATTAGGGATGTAGCTCTAGCTACGAGACCTAAACACTACAACCAGCATGCTTACCGCAGAGGCAAATCTACGGAAACAGCCCTGATCAGTGTTATTGACAGGCTCGAAAAAGCGCTGGAGGATAAAGGAATAGCTCTTTGTGCCTTTATAGACATTGAGGGCGCCTTCGACAGTAGCCCTACATCACTGCTGGTTGGAGGCCTGACATCTAAAAATGTTGACCCCACAACCATCAGGTGGGTAAAGTCGATGAAAACGAGGCTGCCACTCGAGAACCTTTCTTCCCCATCGGTTGTCACTTCTTCGAGCTATATGGCCGGCCTACTGCCACTTCAGCTTACTAATCCGTTGGGCTATGCCGGTTACTCTGGTTCTACTGCAGATATACTCATTTCTAAGTTTATCACGCAGAGAAACCCCGAGCATAACCCTCTCCATAGCTCGCTGAGCGACCTTGAGCTCGGACTTCTGTACAATTTGTCGAAGGGTATGTATGTGGTCTATGGTGCTAAAGCCTTTTCGGAAACCGGCTTGTTCGGGAGGCTGGAAGTCCTCAAGTCTGTGCGCGATACGATTCGTAATGACTCTCGAAAACAGCACGTAGACGCAGCTCCGAAGGAAATCGGTCTGTAGTTCTTCAAGAGAGCGTTGTCACCTTTCCTGAAGAACAAGACCAACGCACTTCTTCTCCACGCCTCCGGTGTAACGCCACCAAGGAGGACGGAATTAAAGAGCTTCTGAAGGACTTCAAGTACCGGTCTTCCACCCGCTTTCAGAAGCTCCGCTGTAATTCCACCTCGCCTGGGGCCTTGCCGTTTTTAAGGTGCTGGAGAGCCATTCTAATCTCGCTCAGACTGACATTCGGGATATCTTCGGAATACGAAGAACTGCACTAAAAGTATCGGGAATAGAATATTTCCACTGTTCCTGTCATATTAAAATCTTTTTAATTGAAAACTCCTTGGTTTTAAAAATCGAATACCATTTATTTATTTAAAAAAAGATTCTCGGTCTTGGCACAAGGTTTTATCAAACTTGTTTAGTCGTTGAGAAAATGGAATTGACTCGAGAAAATAATTCAAGAGCGATGATTTATTATGACTTTCGAAGTGGCTTAACACAAAAACAGTGTGTTGACCGGATGATTTCTGCATTTGGTGATGAAGCCCCATCCAAAACCACAATTTATCGCTGGCTTGCTGAATTTCAACGTGGACGTGTCAAGCTCAGTGATGATCCCCGTCAAGGTCGTCCAAAAACTGCAGTCACCCAAGAAAACGTTGATGCTGTGCGTAAGCTGATCAAGGTCGTCCAAAAACTGCAGTCAACCAAGAAAACGTTGATGCTGTGCGTAAGCTGATTGAGGAAGATCGACATGTGACATACCGCGAAATTCAGGCAACTTTAGATATTGGCATGAGTCAAATACAAATAATCTTGCATGAACAATTAGGTGTAAAAAAGTTGTTTTCCCGATGGATACCGCATTCGCTCTGTGAAGAGCAAAAAGCGGCTCGCGTTACTTGGTGCGTCAGAACTCTCGAAAGATTCCACGCGGGATCCTCAAATGCTGTATACAACATCGTATCAGGTGACGGATCCTGGATATACGCGTACAAACCCGAAACAAAAAACCAGTCACGAGTTTGGGTGTTCGAAAATGAGTTAAAGCCAACAAAAATTGTTCGTTCACGCAGTGTTGCAAAAAAAATGGTGGCCACGTTTGTCTCCAAAACCGGCCATGTTACGACTATTCCTCTTGAGGAACAAAGAACGGTTAATACAGAATGGTATGCTAGCATTTGTTTGCCACAGGTCGTTTCTGAACTCCGTAAAGAGGACTGCAACCGCCGCATCATCCTCCATCACGACAATGCGTGTTCTCTCACCGCACACAGAACAAAAGAGTTTTTAGAGCAAGAAAACATAGAATTATTAGACCATCTGCCGTACAACCCTGACCTAAGCCCTAATGATTTCTATACTTTCCCTAAAATAAGGAATAAATTGCGTGGACAGAGATTTTCATCACCTGAAGAAGCTGTGGACGCCTACAAAACGGCCATTTTGGAGACCCCAACTTCCGAATGGAATGATTGCTTCAATGATTGGTTCCATCGTATGGAAAATGTGTCAAATTTCGCGGAGAATACTTCGAAAAGCAATAAATACTTTTTTAAATAGTAATGTTGCGTCACTTCCTTGATTCCCGAAATTTTCAGTGCCACCCTCGTAGTGTCAGATAAAACTCGCTCTTGGATCGTTACTCACACTTGCGTGTGGCTCCAACGATGACGTGTACAGCTGCCCAATCTCACTCAAAATCTCAGGTGCCCCGGAAACGATGCTACCACATTCGGTCCTCAGCTTTGAAAGTTGGCTCTTTCTGGTAGGTAGATCTCTGGCAAGGACTTTGGAGCCTTGGTTCCGCTCGATCGCTTCTACAATACAAGCTGTATTGAAGTTGCGTAAGTCCCACCGCATGCATTTGGAGACATTATAAAACCTTAATCCGGGCTTTCGATCGTAAATTCGCTTCGGAAGCCCTGGGATTAGGTTAAAATATATTGCGAATTGTGGTAAGAGCCCTGACTGGACACTGTTGTTTTAAAAAGCACATGTTCATCCTGGGACTAAGCAACTTAAGGATGTGCCGGTTTTGCTCCCTAGAGGAGGAAACGCCTTTACACATCCTGACAAATTGCGGACCCTTAATGCACAAACGCAGCAGAAATCTGGAAAACTATGTACTTCGACCAGAAGAAGTGAAATTACTCACAGCTAAGCAACTCCTATTCATTGAGGACGTAGGGCTTAACAGTGAACTGTAGACATAGCAGCGATCCCAATAGATCTTTTAGGTCGCAGTGATACTGGTCTCTCTAGAACTGCATAGCTGCTCGTACTTAATAAAAAAAAGACATGCGGGAAATCAATGGATGGCTCAGGACCGTGCTTTGTAGCGTTCCTTGGGGGAGGCCTATGTTCAGCAGTGGACTTGTGAAGGGCTGTAATGATAATGATGATGAAGATATATTTTAAATTAATGAAAAACAGTAACAAGCTGGAGATCGCAGGGGAACACAAAAAACGGACGTACTATAACACTTCAGTGTTGCTATTGGTACTATAGGCACATGAGTAAAGAAATCGACCTGAGGGGAAGTTACAAACAAACGTCTCGCTTCGGGTACACCCACACATAGCGCAGCGATGTGTGCGTGAGCTCTCACCGACAGGTTCACCGACGCTCCGTCGGGGTACAAACCGGTTTGCGCCGGCTCAGTCAGAGTGTAAATGAAAGGGCTGTTGGTCACGCGCATTGAAATAAATAGACGAATAATATTTCGTGATTTTATAGATCAATAAGTTTATTAATTTTTTTTACAATTAGAGTTAAGGTTAGAGATTGTGTAGTATAAAATAAGACATTATAGATTTATAAGTATATATTTATATTTGATAATTAGTGTTCGTATAAGCTAAATGTCTAAGTTGTACAGTATGTATGAAAAATTCGAGAGAAAATAATACAATAGACAGACAGTGGTGCAGTTAGTGTTAGTGGTAGTAGTGCTGGTGATGGTGATGGTGGACGGTGGTGCTGATCGTGCGGTGTTGGTAGCGGTGGACGGTGGTGCTGATCGTGCGGTGTTGGTAGCGGTGGATGGTGGTACTGTACATGCTGATATTGGTGTCGGTAATTGTGGTGGTGCTGGATAGCTGGTAGTATCATTGGTGGTGGTGGTGGACAGTGGACAGCCACTGGCACTACCACCACGACCAGCATCACCACCACAGCCACTACTACCGCCACCATCATCCTGGTAGTAACATTGGTGGTGGTGGTGTATCAACACAGCCACTGCCCACTACCATCATCACAGTTATTACTAATACCATCTGATTTTTTGTACTCATGAATACATTGTCTTACGAAAATGATATTGATAGAAAATAGATATGTATATGTAATGTGAAGCTAAGCATGAAAATAAGCAAAATATATTATTTTTGCAGTTTCGGTTTTAATTACAAATAACAGACATGTTATTATATTAACTTAAGTTACAATGAATACACATGTTATTTTATACAATATAATATTTTTATTTTTTCCTTAAAATTTTCACTTGCATCAGGTGATATCAGAATAGGTATATATTTTCGACGTTGTTAGAAAGCTTCCCCTCTGGTCTTCTTTAATCTGTGCTATAGGGATTTGAGGCGTGGGGTGAGAGGAAGCGGCGGGAGGCAACGGCATGCTTGATATGAATACGTAGTAAATGAAAAACTGCATAATACGTATATATATAATATGTATAATTTAATTCTACTTTACTGCTTAAAATAAAATTATTCATTATCTGATGAGGAGTCACTGTCACTTTCTGAACTCGTCGACGAATCAGAATGTAGTGTCGTTCCTGTTTTCATTCTGTAACAGAAAAATACGTTAATGCTAAGAAACTAAAAGAACAAGTTTTGGCGGGAATTTGAGGCGGAAATGAAAAACTCACGCATGGTAAGCTTCGGCGACGACAAGCGCAGACGGGTGCAATGCACTAGTCAGTTTGGTCCTATCCTCTTGTAACAGCGCTTGCACCTCTTCTTCAGTTCGGTTCAGCATCAGGCTCAAAGTTTGGACGCTGGCTGTTAATGCTTCCTCAAATCCGCAATCGGCCAAATATGTCACTGCAGTCTGTGAGAAACAAAGTTTTTAAAGCACATGCAAATAAATTTTTATAATTTAGATATAATCTATTTAAAATGTAGCTTTTATAGGCGTTGCTAGCGCCTGCAGCCGGGTCCATCATCAGTTTTTGACAGAAAAACATACAATATGAAGCTGTATACAATATGGGATCGGACTATCATAATTTTTTAACACGTTGGCTGCCATGGGGGGTCAAAATGAACGACACTTGGTAGAAGCGTTGGGGCCATGGGGGGCTTAAATGACCGGCACAACTAAGGTGAACTTGAACACCTTTTGCTCGCTGTCGGCCATGCGTGTAACGTAAAATACCATTACAAGTGGCCGGTGCGGCCCCAATGATCACTTTAGATAACTTGGTCTCAAAATATTTTTATAATTTTTTGGTTGTAGGAATGCACTTTGTTTTTTAAAAAGCCTATATATTTTTTTTTTAGGAAGAGTTCCAACTGTGGACATTACAAATTGTTGGTTTCAATTTTTGGTGTAGATCAGACTTACCATACCACGTATTCTTTTTTCATCACCTGTTAAAGATAGTGGCGATGTAAGAGTGTATACACCTCCCATGGGTGCCATAAGAAGCAACAATGGGAATCTGGAATAGGTCATGGACCGCAGCATCTTTCTGATAATAACTCGATAGTAATAAAAAAAAACTGCGGATGCGAACCTGTCTCCCAAACGTCGCAACTATGGAAAATATACTCCCCCTCCCCCCTAGGAGGCACTGTAAGGGGGTGGTCTATATTTTTTCTTTTTTAAAAAAACGTTACCCCCACACTAGGATTTTCTCCTGTATCGTGGAGGCAGTTTATAAACACAAATTGCACAAGGGCAAACATCCAGACCCGGAACAATCATTTGTAGGCCATACAAATACTTGTTCCGTGCGGGATTCGAACCCGCGCCCCCCAGCGCAGCAACTCATTGCTAAACCACTGCGCCACGGAGCCGTCAATTCAGTAGTGGACTTTTGATAGGCTTTAATAGTATGTGTAGATTGTACAAAATCGTAATAAAAAAATTACAGCAGCAATGCCAGGTTTCCCAACGGTAGCGGCCTTCTTCGCGACTTCGATGAGTATCTCCGGCCTCGCCGGCACTCCCATAGCTTGTTCAGCGCGAAGTTTGTTCAACGCTTCCCCGACAATGTCCCAGCCGGGGTCCGCTTTGTCCTGAACGTCGGAACACAGCTCGATTATGTTGGATATCGCTGTTGCTGATAATCTGGAAACAAATCACTATTTTAATTTGTTTTTCATTGAATAAGATATAGTAATTATTAGTTTATTGAAGAACTTTTGAATTATATTAATAGAATTGAATGATCTATGATTGTAAAATAAATATTCGACACGCGCGTCAACCTTCACAAATAATATTTAGGTAATCGGTTTAGATAAATACATACAATATATATAGGTAATATAATTTGCATGTTAATGTTAATTAGATTTAAGAATTCAATGTATATTGTTACTGAACTTAGATGTTATCAATTTACAAACAGTAGTATCACTAGTACAAAAAAGATCAGCCTTATCACAGTCCTTAGAAAATCTGTTCAAAGAATTACATGCTCTTATAAAAAATGAGTTTCGCCTGTATTAGGTTTCTATAATTTAGGTTCTATACCTTCAATGCACATTCTATTAATATTACATATTAATAGCTCTCCGAGTGACTTTTAGCTTCTTTATATGCCGAAGCGAAGGACGTTTTTACGTGGTAGAACCACTCTGTAGCTATATTATGGCTGTAGCATGAATGGGTCGGCTCGACCGGGGTAGGACCACGCTCTCACAGAATACCAGCGTAAAATAGCAGCTAAATGCTGCTGCGTTCCGTATAGTGAGTGTAGAGGAACCGGAGATCCTTTTTACTGGAAACGAGACATTCCATCTTAGTTCTCAGGTCTGACAATGCATCTGCATTTAGATTCTTAATTGGGGATAAATGAAGATGTCTATGGGCCACAGCATCCACTTACCAGGTGCACTATGTACTCGTTTGTTAGCCTATACAATAAAAAAAACCACGTCTAGGTTCCATTGGTCATCACTGACCCTAAATTTAGTGAACAACTAACAGGTTTAGCTCTTTCGTTGGTAACTTATTGTATAATGCGATACTGAGAACCCGCCGTTACGTGATCTTTGGCATCAACGTATGGTTCCTGCAATCACAGAGTATTCTTGCATCGTGTCTGCATTCAACTGTCGCCGCCCGCCCACGATTCTGGTTAATCAGTATTAATTTTTTTTTGCTTCTTTGAACTATAAGCTCTCTGGAGTCCTAAGTTTATGCTTTTATTGACTATATAACAATAAGAGACTGATAATTTAGCAATTTTGTCCCATATTTTGACATCTTGGCATTCTTGGCTGTATGCTGGATACATGAAGTTGTTCTTTGACAATGCAGGAAGTCGATGGATGCGGGTAGCTCATCTACGAGAGACCAAATTTTGTGGCATTTCATATGTTCAGCTGTGGACTTGTAAGTACTTACTTGATAATGTTGGTGGAGATTAATATTTAGACCAGTGACACGTACTTTTGAACGGGCGATCTTCTGTCACCGGATTCTTCTTTTTCTTCCGCCATCTGGCCAAACTTAAGTATATCGGCAGCGGCAGAACGTATTTTGGCTTTCACTTCATCATCTGGAATAAAAATAAGGGCGCGTAGTCAGTGGTATAGCTATGTAACCAAGGGCCCCGGGGCAAAAATCAAATTGGGGCTACAGTACTAAACTAAACATTTTATAGGTGCAAAATTACTTCATTATCAGCTTTTTAATGTTGGTAATGTAATACAAGGCGAACGAAGTCGCGGGCGGAATCTAGGAAAAAAATAAATAATGAATGACGTAGATAATTTCATGTTTATATTTTGGGTGTGGGAGAAATTTTAGTGATTTCAGTTAAGCGATTCGGGGTTTGTTGTTCAGCCAAAAAGTTAAGTCGAAAATTCTTTATTCAACTAGGTTTTTATATAATTCTATTCTTTTTCAAACGTAGTTCATGAAGGCCGAAGGGCCCTTTGAAAATGGGGGCCCCGGGACACTCCCCGCTTAGCCCTACGGTAGCTACTCCACTGCGAGTAGTATGAGTACAGAGGATGTTGAGCTCATTTCTGCCTAGGATTCTGGGACTCTTGTCTGGGTTGATATCACCCACTGGACTAAAGACAATTGTGTGATATCAACCTCACAGCCTGTGCTTGCCAGTGCAGCAGTCTGCTTGGTGGTAGACTACCACCAAGCAGCAGTGCAAGCACAGGCTGTGAGATATCTCATCTTAGTCCTCAGGGATAACATCGCACCTGTGCCCTTCTTTGTCTGAAGAAAGTTGCAAGTGTCTAATGGGATACAGAAGCTATTTATGCTATATATGTACGCTCGTTATCATGGCTGAAATTGTCGAGGAGTACATTATTTTAAAGCGTCGTCCACGCCACAGTTAGTGGTTACGTGTATACCTTGATACTGATAGCAGTTGCAGAAAGCGTCCAGTAATCTTTCGACAAGCCTTGTTCGGTTTGCGTGACCGAAAATAACGAGCTGCGACCACGCCTGCGCCAAACGATCACCAGCGCCGCCCACCTCCAACGTTCTTATTATCTGTAATCAAGAACACAATTTAAAAAAGAAAATAGAAGCTGACTAATGATCAGATGTATTTCCTAAAACAATTTTTTTTTATAGAAGAGTGGGCAAACGAGCATGCGGCTCATCTGATGGTAAGTGTCGACCCCCGCCCACGAACAACTGCAACACCAGGGGAATGGCAGGTGCGTTGCAGGTAGGGTTATCATATCTCAGGATTTGTCCTGAGATTTCAGGATTTTTAGGCTCTTCTCAGGATTGCGGCTCGATTTTGCAAATCTCATGAAATCTCAGAACTTTCAATATAATACCAGCGTGAAGTAGAGGTTTACCTCTGCGTTTCGCTTGGTGAGAGCAGGTGGCCGGAGGCCCTTTTTACTGGAAATGAGGCATTCCATCTTAGTCCTCACGGGTGACAACGCATCTACATTTTGATTTGTAACAGAGGATAGATGTAGATGTCTATGGGCCGCAGCAACCACTTACCATCAGGTGGACTGTGTGCTCGTTTGTCACCCTCATCCTATAAAAAAAAAATACAGCTTACATTTTAAAGATCTCTTTAATAAAAAGGTAAACAAACAAAAAATAATTTTCCTTTGGTAATAATTCCAAAATTAAAATCAAAACTTATTTATCCAAGTAGGTACTTAGACAGTTTTATCATACTTAATATGTGAAGATACCTTTTTAAGTAAGGTTTTCTTCTCAAACTAAAAAAATCTCAGGATTTTTAAATGGAAATGGCCTCTTCTCCGGACTTTAAATTTTTTCATCTGGTAACCCTAGTTGCAGGCCTTTTAAAAGCAAAAGAGCTTTTAAGGTCCCTAAGTCGTATAAGTCCGGAAAAATCGCTGGTGGTTTTCGAATCCACAAGGAAGTTGTGCGAGGGAGAAAACTTCTTGTAAATCGCACAGTGGTGGACCGCCAATCATCCAGATGGTATGGATGGTATCGCGAGTTTTGTCGCAATGTGCGATGGTGAAATTGAGCGGCTGAAATTAGTTCGAACAATTCCTCAGAGCACTCCCCGTGATAGATCCGATAAAATACGCAAGCGATGCAACATCTATTCGCAGTGCCAGTGAGGCAAGTCTATGAGAAAGAGCTCGGTCGCTGACGATTCCAACTGCTCTGCGCCGGATCCGATCAAAAAATGGAAGTTGGCACTGGGGAGTCACAGTCCAGAGATGGGAACAGTATTGTGCCAGCACCCCTGCGCTTTGTAAAGTGCATGAAATGCTGTCCCGCTCTGCTGAGCACGTCAAGCTTTTTAGAGGCCAATTTGGCCTTCTCTTCCAAGTGACCACGAAAATACACGTCATTCGATATGTCGAAGCCAAGGATTCCGATACTGGCCGAGCCAACTAGGGGAGTGCCCTCAAACTGAGGAGATACCACAAAGAAGTTCCTCTGAGTGGTAAACGCGCAAACTTGTGTCTTCTGGGGATTAAACTGGACCAAATTTTGTCGCACCCAATCCAAGACTTTGTTCAACAAAGTTACGAATTGAGACACAAGTTTGTTCCGGTACTCGGTGGCGCGTTCCCGAGAAATATTGGCACGGCCGGTGTATAGAGCATCACCAGTGCTGTCATCCGTATAGCAATGAATGTTACAGACTTGCAACATATAATTGATATGCAAAAGAAACAGCGTTGGTGATAGCACGCAGCCTTGATGCTCCAATCTGAAAGAAAATTGGTAATCCAATTGCACAATTTTTCGGAAAGCCCATAAGAAGGAAGCTTCGAAAGAAGCGCTCTGTGCCAAACCCGATCGAAGACCTCAAAAACTACTACTGGTTAGACCTTGAAAAAATTTATAAAATTCTTTCAAATAAAAAAGAATCATGAAAATTGGTAAACCTAGAAAAAAGTTACGAGATAACACACACAAAAAAAGTCGAATTGAGTACTTCTTCCTTTAGAAGTCGGTTAAAAATGCAATTATCTTTTTAATCTTAATAGCTGTTTAGGCAATAATATTATACCTTTGAAACGTAATTCTTTAACGTGCGTGCGTAGCCTCGACAGCAAGGTCACCCGCCCCCCACCCGGCCGCATTCCGCAGCGGTATCGGCCAGATTTTTCGACGGGCATTGTAAAGTTTTTGGGATCTATACTGACGTCTGTTTTTCGCGCCTAATTTTGTTACGAAAGTATCAACCCGCGTAAATCGCTGCGAGAACACGTATTGTTCTTTAGGACTTATTAACCTCTGTTAAATTAATTGTGCAACTCCTATAGTGATTTTCCTCTGAAGTTCTACGTTTGGCTGTACCATTGCGTGACAAAACAGAAGGAGTGCCTTAAGAGGGGAATAGTTCCGAGGCTACCAGCGGATACCTTCTCCAGGACGGCATTGTGTCATCTCGACTAGGCCACGTACACACACACACACATTATACAAGCACACATACATTCACGACACTTCCATCAGCCGGGCCGGGCCGGTCCTGGTGAACCGTCTCCGCTCCTGAGGCAGGTAAGTGCCTTTCTCTTACCGATCTTTCCCCCTTGTTTATTTTAATTAGAGAACTTCCACTTTGGCCTTAAAGGCCCGATCTGCATCTGCCAGTAGGTTCTTCTTACAATGGGCCTAGGAGGATCCTACCATTAGATAGGCAGCTGCACGCCGTAACAATAGCTTTATGTTTTTGTGGGTTGAAACATGTTTGCACAACACGGTCCAGTGTTATATTAATAAATAACTTAATATATACCTCTTCCATAACCGACGGTTCGGGAACGTATACGTTTGGTACTAAAGTGTCTAGAAGTTGGAGAGTTTTCTCGAACGGAGCGTGTCTGTAACAGGACAGAGTAATTGAGAATATGAAATGGCAGGTTTAAAGAACGATGATACCAAACAACATAAAATTATTATTAATTATTACAAAACGTGGTTTACTGATAGTCTCGAGTTAAAGTCTTTCTTTTTTATAGAATAAGGGTGAGAAACGAACACACAACCCACCTGATGGTAAGTGCAGTCAATTAAGAATCAAAATGCATATGCGTTGTCACTCTTGAGGACGAAAATGGAATGTCTCGTTTCCAAAAAGGGTCTCCGATTCTTGTACACACACCATAGGAAACAAAAGAATTAAACTGCTATGTCCCTGGATGATCTAAACGATTCACAATTACCGGTAGGTTTTTTTCTAGGATAGGGTGACAATCGAGCACACAGCCCACCTGATGGTAAGTGGTTGCTGTGGCCCATAGACATCTACATCTTTGCTCGTTTGCGAATCAAAATGCAGATGCGTTGTCACCCGTGAGGACTATGATGGAATGCCTCTTTTCCAGTAAAAAGGGTCTTCGGTTCTCTACACTCACAATACGAAACACAGCATGGTTAAGCTGCTGTTTAACGCTGGTATTCTGTGAGAGCGTGGTCCTTCCCCGGTCGAGCCGACCACGAAACACGTGGGTTTGCAGACTCACTTATAATTGCAAGCGAATACAGCTATCCGCTACCGCAAGCCACTTCTGTGTGGGAGACGCTTTAACCGGCTGATTAAATTATCTTGTATCAAATAAATGTTTAACTTTTGTTATGCATGTTGCATGCAATTTTACATAATGCTAAAATTTCATTTTTTGTTTATAGTGCTACTTCATAAAAAAAATTACTTTTTTAAGACAATGTTTAGAGAACAAAAGATTACGTTAAATTACAAATTAAAATTATGTTAGGCTTTTAATCATTAATAATGTTGTAAAATTGTAAAAAAAACTAGTTACAAACATTTTTTTTAAATAGTTTAAAAAAAACATATTACCTGCAAGTCACCGTTATATAATGCCGATAGTAAATACTTTCCTTGTAAGCATCTCCAACTAGTTTATAGTTGTCATCTTTCATTAGAAGTTTGTGTAACCGTTCTGCTAAGTCGATATTCTACGAAAAAAAACTTTTATTTATAATGAATTTCAATTAAAATTAGGATGCAGAGCAAGTGATTTTTTTATAGGATAAGGTGACAAACGAGCACACAGTCCACCTGATGGTAAATGGTTGCTGTGACCCATAGACATCCACATCTATCTTGTCACCCGTGAGGACTATGATGGAATGTCTCTTTTCCAGTAAAAAGGGTCTCCGGTTCTCTACACTCACCATATGACACACAGCAATGTCAAACTGCCATTTTACGCTGGTATTCTGTGAGAGCGTGGTCTTTCCCCGATCGAGCCGGCCCATTCGTGCTACAACTATACTACTAATATAGCTGCAGCATGACTCTACCACGTACAAAAGTGATTTAAAGATTACAATTAATCATTATAGCAAGAAACTTTTTTTTATATTGCTTTTGTTGCTGATGTTAATGGCTACAGCAATAGGACTGCAAACAACTTTGCAGACTAAGGATGGAATGGCTAATGCCCTGTAATTCTATATACTTCAGACCAGGACACTGCAGCGGATATACTGTCAAGCAGCAGGTAGAAATGTATAAGATCTGATAGTGAGTGATAACTGATAGTAATGACACTAAGCTGATAAAAGTGTACTATCTCCCAAGAAAGACAAAAACACATAAAAATACAAAAAAGTATTTACAATTTAATACAACTTGCGTGCGCGCGTAAATAGTATTACGCGCACATATTTGTTATTTATACAATTTTTCCTTGTTTTACATAATACGTTGAAAATTACTGTCTTATATTCAAGAAAATATCTTACGGGTCCTTTCTAATACAAGTTTGTGCAAGCTTATCTGAAAGGATCTATTAAGAGTACAGTATAACTTGAATTATTTAATAAGGATAGGGACAGACTGGTCCCACGTACGCAACGTTTTTTTTTGTTATTTTATTTGACACGTCTATCTTCGCTATAACGTTACGTTATAACGGTTATCATGCATGATTAATCCATCACAGCCTATAATAGTCCACTACTGAACATAGTCCTCCACCATAAATTACCTCATGGGGGGGGGGGGGGGGGATTTTGCCATAGTTGCCACGCTTGGCAGACGGGTTAGCGACCGCCGTTTTTTCATTATTTTTCGTTGTTATTAGGATGATGCTGCTGCCCATCTCCAGATTTGTTTCCCTCCATCGCCTCTTACGAAATCTACGAGACGATATAATAATAATATTTATTTCTTCCACTTTTTACACAGTTACATTTCTTACATAAATAGTTTAAGAGTTTTATAGATATATAGATACATATATGGTATATGGTAGTGGATATTCTTACACCGCCACTACACGGGTTAACCGTTATGTAATGTTTCAAAAATGACCATAATGCTAATAAAATGACGATTGTCACGGTATAGGTGTACGTAATGTCAGTTTTTCACTTTTGTGTTGCGGGTGGATTTTATTAATAATGGTAAAATGTATTGAGGTAATGTCCGACTAGGTAAGTCCAACTTCGACCGAGAGGTCAGTATCGAGGGATCCAATTCGACTGGGGAGCGTACAAAAGATTACTATACATCTTCTAGTCACGTATTCCACAAAATTTGAAAACAAGAGTGTACAACTAGTGCGTGTTGCCAGTATTATATAGATTTAATATGTGACTGCATGAGTAAACTCAAGGTCGCTGAGCGAGCTATGGAAAGGGTTATTCTCGGATTATCTCTGAGTGACAGAATTTACAAAAGAAGATATCCACAGTACAAACCGGAGTACCCAATATAGCATTACAGATCAATAAGCTGAAGTGGCAATGGGCCGGCCATATGGCTCCTAGAATAGAGAAGAAAAGTTCTCGAGTTAAAGGCTGTAATGATGTCTAGAAATGACAATAGTTTATCTTGAAATATATTGAATGTTATATAACTATAAAAAAACGTGTGTGTGTGTGTGTACTTATGTACGCACGTAGGAAGTTATGACAACAAAAATAACTACCTTAAATATAGTTATCAGTTCCCACGAATACTTGAGAGACAGATACCAAATGAAGTTGTTGCGTTGAGGTGTCAGTGAGCGCGCGTATCGTAACAACTTCATGGTGTCGTTTTTAGCTGTTGGTGTGCGTGTGCATCGTAAAAAATTCACTATCATAATTTTTCCCAAACGCCCCAGAAGAAGTATGACTTCAAAAAATCAATGTACATGTTATACAACATGCAAAATTTTGCATTTGAAACCACTGGAGCCATAAGGATTGCACTAAGCTAATAAATGTAAGACAAATATTGCTCACGACTGCAAATCTTAAAGGAGACTAGCCATTTCGGTAGGATAAAGGTGCGCGCGCAAGCACAAGTGAAACTGTATTCTCTCACTGTCATAGTCCGATAAGACATCCGTTACAACGGAAAGAGAACAGACACAGGGACAAAGGCTTTATGTGCTTTCCGAGGCACGGAGGTGAAACACCATTAACATGCTGGCTCCCGGCTAGTCGTTAATGAGAGGCAGCAGCTTGTATTTTTTAACGACTTCAAAAAGGAGGAGGTTCTCAATTCGAATATATGTTTGTATTTTGTGTGTAAATTACGCGATATCTTCGCAGATTGTGAATCAATTTTGATGATTCTTTTTTTATTAAAGAGGTTGTACTTCAAGGCTGCTCCCATATAAATTTGCAGAAAAAATTCCACCCCTAAGGGTAGCAAATAAATAACTTCTTTTTTAGCAATTTGAAGTCGGCTTTTACTTTTTGTTAAAACTTATAGGTAATTATTACTATTTACCCCTTAACTGTTCCACTGAAAAATCAGAATTGTAGACATAGCTATTATGTATATAATATATTATATGCGTTAGTGCATGTGCTGCATGATGCATGCGTGTATGAGTTGTGCGTGTATGGTGTCTTTCACATATTTATTTGTATTGGTGATTATGAAATACGAGTACATGTAGCATTACCTGTAAATGATCACTGCACACTCCCATAGCGGTGATAAAGAAGTTAGTATCAGTTGCTTCTTGTGGTACCAATTTTTCTCTTTTTTCCAAATCATTTAGAATACTTGTAAGGATATCTATTTGAGCACCACCTTAAAGACGTCACAAGTAAAATTTGAGTATTAAATTAAACGATAAAGTTAAAATAAACAAGTGAAATTTTTGAAATTTATGTATTTTTTTAATATACCATGTTTTTTCCATATATTATCAACATTTTATGATTCGATTGGAGCTATTTTCATACAGGGTGGGCCTTAACTGTATGAGTGGTTTCAATATGCAATAAAAATAACTATAAAACTTATTGTCTTTTTTATACATTTAAAAAGTACAAGAAATTGAAATTTCAGTGACATCAAATTTTTAAAGATAATGTTATTTAAGTGACCGCCACCAGCTTTTTGACATTCTTGTAGTCGCATTCGCAGATTTTGAAAAACACGTTGACAAGTTGCTCGTGGAATAGCGTTAATTTCTTGCACAATGTTTCACTCTTCAACTGTTATTGGATTATTTTCATAGACTCTTGCTTTTAGGGAACTCCACAAAAAATAATCATTAGGAGAAAGATCTGGACTCCTTGGAGGCCACTCAATGTCTCCTCTTCGCGATATGAGTTTTCTTGGAAACATTTTCTTCAGCACGTCTATTGAGACTGTAGAAGTGTGGCAAGTGGCTTCATCCTGTTGATACCACGTCTTAGAATTGTACCCTTGAAATTCTTGAAGAGCTGGAACCAGAAACTCTTGCAACATCTGACAATAATTCTCAGATCTCACTGTCACAGCAACTCCTCTTTGGTTTTCAAAGAAGTATGGCCCAATTATTCCACTAGCCGATATTCCAGCCCACACAACGACCTTAGGGCTATGCAGAGGTCTTTGATGCATCTCGCGGGGATTAGATTCGGACCAAAAGCGGCAATTTTGCTTATTAACATGTCCGTTGACATGAAAGTTTGCCTCATCACTGAAGATTATGTTGGAAAAATTGTTAAAACGTTCCAGCATAACATTAGCAAAATTAAGTCGAAGATTGGCATCGTTAGGATTCAACTCTTGTGTTAACTGAATTTTGTACGCTTTTAAATGCAAATCAAGGTGCAAAATCCTGCGCAAAGTAGTCCTCTTGATGTTCAAGATTTGGCTTCTTTTGCGAGTCGATTGTCGCGTTAAATAATCTCCGGCGTCCGTATTGACTTCGGGCGGCCCGCATTATTTATTTTTACTGTAGACTCGATTTCTTCGAACATCTTAACCCATTTCCGAATAGAATTTGCGCATGGTGCTTCTCTGATGTTATGTAAGCCGACGTGAACGCGGTACATTCGCCTAGAAACCGTCACAGAATTGTTGTTGACATAATACGCGTGAACACAAAACGCACGCTGTGCTCCCGAGAACGCGTCCATGGCGACTAAAAATTCCACGAAATGGCGCGTCTAACAACACCCCCCGCGCCCCGTACCTCTAACGGTTTTTGAATTAGAGACAAAATAAAACGCTCATACTGTTAAGGCCCACCTTGCAATTTCAAGTGTCTAGCTCATCGTAAAGTTAGTTTAAAATGAATAACGAAATTCGTCTCGAACAGTCACACGAGAAAGCGAGTTAATAATACGTATAAAAAATAACGTGGTAAAAAAATTACATAACGAAATTCCATATGTGTGATTTATGATCGAAATCGGTCGGGGAAACTGCAAGCCACTCTAGCTGAACAATGGATAAATATTTTAAACATACATTGATTCTATTCTGATTACACTTACGCTCTTTGCAAAATAAACATAGCAAATAATAGTATGCCGATAGTCCGGGTTGAATGCCAATTTGACGGAACTCCGCAATGACTTGTAAAGCAATTTGTTGTAAAATTTTACCACCGCCCCATGCTGATACAGAGCGGAGACATGCCGTTAGCGTCTCGTGGTTTGGTGTTAAACCCTGAAAAAAAATTAATCTTATAAATTTGGCCAATCATGCCTACTTTAAACTTATTATAAGCCCGTTTCTTTTTTTTATCGGCTCGTAAATACGAATGGCTGGTTATGGACCAGAAAGAAAAAGAAATATACTTATTGTAAGTCATTTATTACTTATTTATCACTGAAAATAAAATTCCACTTGTAATTGATGGTAAGTGGTAATGAAGCCTTAGATGGTAAATCGCACTATTTTAGAGTAACAAAAACTTATGTCCCGAATTCATATGTGTCTTAAACCCGGGACAAACCAGAGACAATAACAGTACTATCAAAAATATTAATTCACACAACTATACGTCCCGATAATTACTGTACTATGCACCTTTCTATAATTATGTATTTTGAAGAGTAGAATACAAGTCACAAAGTGAACTTTTAATACACAATTTTTGTTTATTATTACACTTTACGTAATTTCTACACTAAGCTGGCGGATTGCCATATTGCGGTAGCAGATGTCTCGTACCCTTTTCGTTAGCTGTTTCTGTACTTTAAATCTAGCAGAAATACGATGTGAACCGCCGTATATCAGCAGTGGCGTAGCTATGTAACCAAGGGCCCCGGGGCAAAAATTTTATTGGGTCCCTATTTAAACTAAACTAAATACATACTTTATTATGCCCCGCAGTGGGCGACAGGGAGCTGATGATGAAGTAGTTTTGCACCTTTAAAGCAAAGCTACATACTATTAAGTATTATGTGTAACGCATAAACAATGACGAAGTAGATTACAGTTAATAATATAGGCAGATAACATAACAGTGGAAGAGCTACACATATAATATCAGAGATCGCAAGATCTTCTAGGCATATTCACTTGTCACGTTACAATACCCTATAAGTTGAAATGAGGTTATTCAGTATCTTATGCTGCTACCACATGAACTTTACTATAATTGTCGATGTACTTTTTATCATACTTTTAATTAAAAATTTCCAGTAGCAGTTTCATTATATGTCCTACTGCTGGGCACAAGCCTTCACTGATTTCTGAGAAGGTTTATCGTACAAATATTGTAACACAATAAGTGTACATTGAATAAAACTACTTTTACTACTACATTCTGCGTAGATCGGGCCAAAAGTAATTAAAAAGCTAAAGGTACTCCGGGTTAACTCTGACATTGGCACGTCAATCACCTCAGTCTCCCGAGACCATGGGTGCTGGAAAGCACCCGAAACGTCGGGAATTAAAAATAAGTATAATAAAACGAGATAAAAGCCGTAAAAGTAGTTTCATTCAATGTGTAGTGTAATATAAGAAATCACAATTAGTGTATTCAATATATTTAAAAAAATGTACCTGTTCATTCATTTGACTTAGTAAAGTTTTCAAAGCTTCTATTCTTAAAGTAGTACCTTCCTTCAGAAATCCAATGCAGCTTAAAAGTGAGTTGAATACACTTGTTGACAATGGTATACCTTGTTCAATTGCTTCTTGGGCTAATGCATGTGCTCTTTCTGCCTAAAACGCAATACATTCAACTTATTACTGGAATAAAATAGCATTTTAGTGTTTTATTTCCTACTCACTCTGGAAAACCTAGGATATGTAGCATAATTATATAATAAACATAGGTACTTTATAAAGTTATTATGTAAATATAAATATTTATAAATATATATATATATATATATATATATATATATATATATATATATATATATATATACTAGCTGACAAAGCAGACGTTGTTCTGCCCTTTCCGACGACCATTTGCTTTCCTACATAAAAACTACTGCGATTAGCAATCAAAAAATTGAGGGTCACTTATCGGGATGAAAACTATCGTATCTCTCAAGTTGGAATAAACTGCACACAGTGTGCAAAATTTCTAAATTTCAAAAAAGAAAATATATATATATATTAAATTTTATTTAAATAAGAATTTAATAGTAATTTTTTTTATATTGTAATAAGAACCGTCCGAAAAGTCCATTGCTGAACAGCAGTAGTCCCCCCCCCCCTCCTCCCATAGACTGCTTCATAGGGGGGATATTTGCTATAGTTGGCACCATTGGCAAGCAGGTTCCGCACCTACCGGCTTTTATATTTATTCAGCTGTGATCAAGAAGATGCAGCTGCCCATCTCCTGCTGCATTTTCCTATACGACACCCACGTTATGATAAATATATAGAATGTCCACTACTCTAGTAGTGGACATTATTATACCGCCACTTTAGGGTTTATAAAATTACAATTCATCATCATCATCATCATTACAGCCCTTCGCAAGTCCACTGCTGAACATAGGCCTCCCTTAAGGAACGCCACAAAGCACAGTCCTGAGCCAACTGCATCCATCGACTTCCTGCACGTCTTACCAGGTCGTCACTCCATCTAGCAGGGGGCCACCCTACACTTACGGTACGAGGCTGCCACTCGAGAACCTTTTTTCCCCATCGGTTGTCGGTTCTTCGAGCTTTATGGCCGGCCCATTGCTACTTTAGGTTAATAATCTGTTGGGCTATGTGGGTTACTCTGGTTCTACTGCAAATTTAAGTTTATCACGCAGAGAAACTCCGAGCCCTCTCCATAGCCGCTGAGAGACCTTGAACTCCTTCAAGCCGCCAGCAGGGAAGGACTACGACTCATATCCATAAGTCATCACTGGCAATACTCACTAGCGCACTTACAATTACAATCATTTATATAAAAGTGAACTTTAATTTCAATATAAAAATATAAAATATTTACTTGATAATATTTCGCCATTCCTTGTATTACAGCACAATACGCCTCAGGTGTTTTTGGTTCCATGGAAGTGAAAATACTATCAGCTAGCCCGCCCAATCTAAAAAGTCAATTTTTAAATAACTTAAACCATGAATTGGCAATTGGGAGCACCAACGACCCGAATGGAAATGGAAAATGGAATCAATTTACATTGCTGCCTGCCTGCCAAAACCTGTCTCTGGAAACAAATGCTCATAGGACATCCAAAATCAAAGAATGATTTACAAATATGGTTGTGGCAATAAACTTAATTTTGTTAGTAACACAATAGAAGAGTGAGTGAATGTTCTTAGAAAATCAAAAACTGAACAAACTAACAAGTTATTAGTTTTATTATATCTTTTCAAAATAGTGTCCATTTACATCAATACATCGCTGCATCCGATGGAACCACCAAGCTTTGCCCACTCGTCCTTAGGGGTTTCTTCGACGGCATTTTGAAATGCAGCCACTGCTTCCTCGACGTCCGTGAAACGTTTTCCTCGAAGTTTTTCTTTTATTTTTGGAAATATATAAAAATCGCAAGGTGTGAGGTCGGGGCTATAGGGCGGGTGACCCAGTAATTCCACGTCTGACGTCGCCAAGTAGTCGATTGTTTGATTGGCGGTGTGCGACGAGGCGTTGTCTTGGTGAAGGAGGATCCTACTGCGAGGTCGTTTCTCCCGAACTTTTTCCAAGACAAGTGGCAAACAATTGTTAGTGTACCACTCTGCAGTAACTGTTTTTAGATCCTCTAAAACAATTGTTGCGTAATGACCTGCCTTCCGAAGAACAAGGCCACGATTTTTTTTCACACGGCTCTCTTCACTTTAGTTGGCAACTCCTCGGAAGGAAACACCCAGACATCAGACTGTCTCTTAGTTTCAGGATCATAACAATAAGTCCAGCTTTCGTCACACGTAAGTATGTCGAACACAGCATTTGAGCCACCTCTGTTAAATCTTTGAACCATTTCACGACACCAATCAACCCGACGGAGTTTTTGGGCATCTGTCAAATTATGAGGTATCCACCGGGCACAAAGCTTCCTGACCGCTAAATGTTCATGGAGGATTTTGTGCAATTGACTCATACCGATTCCTAAGCTTGTCCGAATCTCTTTTGTCAGTCTCAGACAATTTTCAATTTGCCGCCATTTCGTAAGCAAATGATAAATTAATAAAATACATACACAATAATAATGGCAGAGTTCCATTTTTAAAATTTGAACTTATTTTTATTTTATATCGTTTACAAGTGGCCAGTTCTAAAAACGTGTCGCCGTCGTAATTGGTTAATACAGTAATTAAACAAAAGTGACTTCTGTATAAATCGTATTCTGTATGGCCAATTTAATTGCTAAACCTACCTGGCAAGCAATTTAACTTTTACAACATCCTTTATTTTCATGTACTTAAACAGCGAGAAAGCTACATAGCATATATTTGAAATGAAGTGAAAACTTGAAAGGAATTGAAATTTCGTTTTTTAAAAGTAAATATGTTTCAAACTGAGGGTCCTCATATTGGCATTTTTAAAACCCAATAATATGGTACAGTGCATACAACCACTTTTTTATTTTTCATCGAGATAAAAAAATATCATATTGCCGGTTGACAATTATTCATCACAAAACAAAAATTGGACATTTTTTATTTTTTTAATTTACGTTGTGAATTTAAATGACATCAACGCCGACAAGATTGTGATAGAATGTTTCGAACCAGGTGGAGTTGTCGATGAAACGCATGAAAAACAAAATTTATGATTTTGCAGATTTTTCTCAGGCAGTTAGTACTGCAGGAAAAAAGTAAAACCTAAAGAGATGACTCTACAAGATTTTTATGATTGGGAAGGTGGGAAGACTACACGATGCAGTATAAACTGTCTCGAATTAAACTTTATAATGAAATGGTCAACAATAGTCAATAGAGACAGTTTTAATTCCACATACAGACCCTATCACTGCAAGCATATTCGGAAATAAAATTTTGAAAACTCAAGTTTTGTCACCATCGAAGAAGAAAACTGCACTGAAAGGCATTTCTTAAAGCAAAAAAGAAACAAAATATTATACCTCAAAATAGAATGTCCTTTGGGACTATTCAAGTATTACGTAAGCAGAAAGGGGGGGGGGGATCTTTGATTTTTTTATTTTTGATGACATGGGGGATGGGAGTATCTGGATGGTGATTACGTCAGCAATATTTTTATTTACTTTTCGGATTTTCTGCAAAATTTTGTCGATTTTGATTTGCCACATATGGCAATCATGGTACGACCATGATCCAGCATTTGGCGAGTCTAGTTATTACATTGATGCGATTGGCACCTGACCTTCGTAAACCTTAGACTGGGGAACCAGACAAATTGGATCATTGTTACACATCTAGATATTGTAGATGTGCAGCTTTCCTCACGATGTTTTCCCCCGTTACTGCTGAAGTAGTGGTATAAATCCGCATTTAGATTTCGAAAATCCAGAGGTGCAATAAAAGTCTAAATTCGAGAATCCTGGGATTGATCTTTCAACTCTACGTATGTGTGGCACGAGGTCTTATCCACTGGACTACCATCGCACTAATAGCAAATCTCTATAAGGTAATTTCTCTATAGACTGTAAATTCCTTATTTCTAGACTTGTTAACTGCTGCTCATGAACCAATAAGGAAACCAGAATAGATTAAAAATAATTATATAAATGTTAACGTTAGCATGGGAGGAGGAAAGGAATAATTACAAAAATTCTGCTTACGTAATACTTGAACGGCCCCTTTTGGCGAGAACTCCTCATTTTAGATTCCATAGAATCCGTTTGTTTGTGCAAATATTCTTTATGCCATTATAAATTTGAATAATTTTTTTGCTTCAAAACAATACATTTTTTATTCGACAGAAAATTCATATTTTTTTATACAGACATGTAGGAGAAGAGCTAACGAAAAAGCAGTTAATTCTATAATCACTAAACGGTGTAGCAGAATCTCATGAATAAGGTAAATCCACATACATTTTTGATATTATAACTATTGTGATAACGAATAGACTCAACATAATATATAAATTCTATTTTATAAGCAAAATAGTCAATTTAAAACTGAAAAAATATACTATTATTACATAACTTTAATTATCCCGAAACTTGCTTTCATTAAGATACCGCTTTTGCGCTTAGTTGGGCAGATTTGTAAGAAACCATACGATTTTTCTCTGTCTCTCTCATGGGACGAAATAGAATGCCGGATTCGCTTTACACAAACAAGCAAAAAGTTTTAAAGTTTTTTTCAAGTTTTTACCAAAACATTGATGTATTTCGTAAATTCGAATATAGGATTTATGGAATATATTCATAGATATTGGCTTTTATAACACTTTTAGTAACTACTAAAGTTACACATTTCCTTTTAATAAGTAACTACTTATTAAAAGGAAATGTGGGCCGAGAGACATTTGAAAATTAGGTATTTGTAGAAACTATCACTGTCGCTCTGCGAGCACTCGGCATCCGTTAACCTTCCGTGCACCATGTGGGGTCTAATAAACCCCAACGAAACAAAAATTTCTGTAACTCTTTAAATATTCGCGCGCTTGCTCTGATGCTTTAAGTAGCTGGAGTTGTAACGTTGCCAAACCGTCTAGTGACTCTAGTGACAACGATTTAGTAAACGTGTCGGGGGCGCAGCGGACAGACGTATCCAAAGTGCTTCAGGATCTCACAAACCCCACGTGGTTTGGGACGTCGTCTAAAACGTAAGTAGTATGTTTTTGTAAAATGCAGTAAAACTATATTATTTTCTACTTTTTTTGACAGTATTTTTTATGTTAACGTGTTATCAATAGGTGGATTTGAAATGGCTCATCGAATGAGTGACAATGCAATAGCATCTGCTCTTGTGGAAGAAAGTGACGACGATTTGGACAAGCTCTTTCTACCTGGAAGCGAAGATGAATCGGATCATTTGAGTGTGCAGTCTGAATGTGAAAGTGAAGAAGAAGAAGAAATTACTTCGGGTGGTGAATTTTCTACTTCTCATCAGTTTTATATGGGTAAAACTGCAAAACTAAATGGCTAAATGAACCGCTAAGAACTAATATTCGTACAAGAAATGAAAATATTATTACACATTTACCGGGAGTAAAGAGTCAATATAAAGACAAAAAAACATATTTGGAATGTTTCGAAGTATTTATTTCCAATAAAATACTAGAGATAGTTGTAAAATATACCAATGTAAGAATATGCTTATCTAAACCACAGTCATCAGATGGCAAAAACATAAATGCGCTGTATGCTGAAACAACTAAATGTGAAATAAAAGATTTTTAGGGCTTTTATTTTTAGCTGGATTGTATCGATGGCCACTCACTATATTTTATTCAATGCTCAATCACGCGGAAATCAATGGAATGATCTTACACATGTTGAATAATTGTATTGAAACAGTAAAAACGGATCATAGAAGGAGGTATATTCGCGATTTAGGAATGGCTGTAATAGATGAGCATTTGAGAAACCATAAAGACAATCCACGGATTCCGAAAGATTCTCGTAAGCACATATACGATTTATTTAGTTAAACGCCTCAGGAGCCGCTAAAAAAAATAGCAAAATCTAAAACAAGGTGTTCGTAATGCGACAGGAGAAAAGACCGAAAGACCAAGTACAGTTGTGAGAGATGTCAAGTACCTATATGCTTAGAGCACGCACATTTTTATTGTAAAAACTGTGCTGACTTTAACCAACCAGGATCTCATGAAGATTGAATATATTAAACCACCTCTCACCATTTTTTATTTTTTATTACGTCGGCCTTTAAAATAAAAGATATACAGGATTTTCAAAAATATTTTTTATTAATATAGTCTATGCCAAAGAAGAGTATAATTTTTAGTTTGTGAAAAGTCACTTTTGTGTTTTTTATATATAAGAGTATTAAAATGTTTATTCTATTTAACTAGTTTATTTTATTTTTTTCCAATAACAAACCAAAAACACTATACACACAAAAAACAAACAAATATTTTAAAACAACACATTCTATTCCTCGATAATAATCAGGGTCCAAAAAACCCCACGTGGTTCACGGAAGGTTTTTTTTATAGGATAAGGGTGACAAACGAACACACAGTCCACCTGATGGTAAGTGGTTGCTGTGGCCCATAGACATCTGCATCTATCCTCGATTACGAATCAAAATGCAGATGCGTTGTCACCCGTGAGGACTAAGATAGAATGTCTCTTTTCCAGTAAAAAGGGTCTCCGGTTCTCTACACTCACCATACGAAACACAGCAGCATTAAGCTGCTATTTTACGCTGGTATTCTGTGAGAGTGTGGTCCTTCCCCGGTCGAGCCGACCCATTCGTGCTACAACTATACCAGTAATATAGCTGCAGCATGGCTCTACCACGTAAGGACAACTGCAGATCCGACTGAATAGCCTAAGTAAAAAGGCATAATTCGAGGTTTGGCTCTTTACCATTTCCTCCTCCAATATTGGACCAATTTATAAGATATTTTTTCATAAACTGAATAAGAAGGATATACACTGTGACCTATGTTTTTCTTTTATCAGTATTAGTTGTCAAATTTGAACACTAGGCCTCTGTTTACAGCGGTCTAAATAGGCAATTTTGAGCATTCTGTAAGGGTACTAGTTAAAAAGATAATTTATCATCAAAAAGGAAAACATAGAGACATAGAAGAGGTGGATATTTATTTTACTGAAAAAACTCATTGCTATAAGGTCATAAACCAGAAAGAAAACAGGCATTATAGCGAAAAGAGAGTGTTTGTATGGAGAAAAGACTACCCGCATTTCCTCTTAGTAGTTTTATCAAAACATACCTCCAAGTAGCTGCCTGCCTCTCACGAGTATTTGCTGCAAACCATCTCTCTTCCACCCAATCCATAGAAATTGGTTCCTTTTCATTATAGAAGCAGAGTAACTGGAGAAATTTGATTTTCAGCTCATCACTTATCACCTGCGCTCCACCAAGGAGTTCATACACTTTTATTGCATCTTCAAGAAGTGCATTTTGTATTGTGTAATTGAAGTCTTCTTCAGTAACCTGCGAAATCGCAAGTTTTTTTTTTAATGAAAAAAGAGTGACAAACAAGATCACAGTTCCACTGATGGTAAGCTGCAGCCAACTCTTAACATACCGGGTGTTTGTGAAACGGTCCCGAAAACGAAGACAGATGGTAGTACTAAGGACACCTTTGATCATGGGACACAAATAAATTCCATCATATATACATTCTATATAGTAGGGGATAACCATGATATAGTATTATTTGCAGATGACACTTCTTTAATTTTCAAATTAAGTCGACAGTTACTAAAATATGACGAAGTAAATAATGCTATATCTAAATTAGTAAATTGGTTCGATGTTAATAATTTGCATTTAAATGGCACAAAAACAAAATGTATGAAATTCGTGACTCCAAATGTCAAACAATTAAATACTAATGTAATTTTAAATGGGGAGAAACTGAGTCTTGTAGATACCACCATTTTTCTTGGAATCACACTAGACGCGAAGCTTCAATGGAGCCCCCATATATCAAAACTAGCAAGCAGACTTAGTTCTGCAGCATATGCTGTAAAAAAAATTAGAAGTCTAACCAGTGTTGAAACAGCTAGACTAGTTTACTTCAGCTACTTCCATAGCATAATGTCGTATGGTATTTTGCTATGGGGACACGCAGCTGACACTGAAATTATATTTGTTTTGCAAAAGAGGGCCATAAGAGCAATTTATGATTTAAAGCCTAAAGAGTCGCTGCGACAAAAATTTAAGGAAATTAATATATTAACTTTGGCCTCTCAATACATTTATGAAAATGTAATGTACGTACACAAAAATAAAAGTAGTTTTACAAAAATAAGTGATATTCATTCTGTAAATACTAGGAACAGACACAAGCTAGTAGTACCAGTTACTCGACTCCATCGAGTCAGTAATTCATTCTTGGGGCGATGTATACGCTTTTACAACAAAATTCCAGAAAATATACAAAGTTTGACCTGTTCAAAGTTCAAAAACTTTATTAAACTAAGTTTGTATAAAAAGGGTTATTATAATATTAAGGAATTTATGGATGATAATAACCCCTGGAAATGAGGTGATCGCTACCAAGCTATTTCTAATTTGTTGTGTTGTTAATTTGTGTAAAATCATGATTGTAAGCTGTTATTTAAAAAAAAAATAGTCCCGCTGGGTTTCTTGCTGGTTCTTCCCAGGACAGAGGTTTTTTCCGAACCAGTGGTAATCAAACAAAAGAGTGACTTTCAATAAGTATTATTTATAATCTATATTGAATAAAAAAGTTTCTGTTTCTGTTTCTGTTTCTGTTATAGTATTATACTACTAATATGCTTTTCAGGTCACTCTAAAATGACACTGCCACAATCCGTCTTCAACTAAGACAACTGGTTCTTTACAGCAGACAATCTCTTTAAAAGATTAGAGCCTTGGTTCAACTCAATTGTTTCTTCAATAGGAGCTGTATTGAATTTGAGTAAGTCTTGCCGCATTAATTTAAGAGCTGTCTGTTCAGCTGCCTGTTCTGTCTCAATCTGTTGAAGATTGTAGTTGCATTACCCCTTTATTAGCCATGAGCGAATGGATAGTTTAAGGCGTTAAGAATCTTAGAACTTTGACACATTTAAGATTTATAATACAGGGGACAATCCATGTATTATAATCTTTTTAGATGTCAAGTATTTCAATGCTAATTTAGAGCATGAGGAAGATGGACGCATTGACTTCATTAGAGGTGACCTCTTTGATCGAAGGTTCAGTGGGCCTCTTATCATTAGATGATAATCGCTAAAAATTTGTTGGCTGGTAGCCACAATGAAGTCAATATCATTTTTTGACTTCCTGTGGGGCAGCTTCCAGAAGAAAGAGTTTATCATAAACAGTCTTGTCGTTATTGCCTCCACCCACTTATCGAGTCGATGCAGAAGCCTGTATGACCTTCAACGAATACTGCTTTGTGGTTCTGATTATAGAGTATGCAACTCTTGTACAATCCACAACACTTCCGATCTTTAACAAATCTCTATATATAAAAATCAATTGCTGTCCATTAGTCTGGCTAAAACTTGAAAATGGCTCGACTGATTTTGATGAAATGTGTTGGTGTGGGTCTTTGGATGGTTCAGATTCACAATTGGAGCTGGTACGTGGAGCTGTTGTCGAGATCCAGAAATCGCCCGTGTGAAGCAGAGAGCTAGTTGTTAATAAAAGCCTTAGGGACTATAAATCAGAACCTCCTTGGCACAGATGGTCACCCTCCCTGTGATAGACAAGTTAATACATTCGAAGATTATAATGCCCCCTTTCTTCAGACACATATAATCCTATAATGTCCCAGTAAGAATTGTCTATCTCTTTTTCCAGCTTTAGTATGTTAGTCGTATCTAGTCTTCAGGGCGTGGCCGTTGAATGTTGCCAGGTCCAGTTGTGTTTGGTGGCCACCGAACCTTCACCATCATGGTCACCATCGAAGCCAAAAATTGCAAGGCTGCCATGGATCCATTTTGTTTTTTGAGTTTTTATACACGAATATTTGCCATAGTTTCCATGCTTGGCAGGCGGATTAGCAACTGCAGTTTTTTTTTTATGAGGTTGTTATCAAGAGGATGTTGCTGCCTATCTCCTGACTCTTTTTTCCCTCGGTCACTTCATATGACACCCATATAATTTAGGGTGGTGGATATCAGATTTACCATTAAATTTCCTTTGCAAATGACATAATATTTAACCAAAAGCTACTTTTTATATATTATAATAATAATAAGTTTCGGTTTTATGACAATACCTTACTTTCATCATTATATATTGGTCTCGGAGCAAAAGCCTCAATGTATGGGTCAGCATTTAAATATGGAGTTTTCTTTTTACCAGGAGGATCCCACTCTCGAGTAGTGAAAAGATCAGCATGTTCGTCTCTAATCCATGCAGCTGCTTTTCTGCCAGCTTCAGCTGATAATGCATATGACCGCTTTCGGAAGTTTGAAAGAGGTATCAAGTATGGATCATCATGGTACCTATAATTGAATATAGAGAATTTTATTAAATGTATTGAATTGTATTATTTTAATATAACACTAATAGCTGATAAAAAGATTAGAATGCAATAATTTAAAGAATAGATTAGAACAGAATATTTTTTATTCTATTAATATTATTGCATAATATTCATTGAATATAAATTTTATATACCACTGTTTGGGAAAATAAACATAAAATTTTACAATAGTTATTCCATAATTATTTATATTAATTAAAATAGAACCAGCAAGGTAGCGATCACCACATTTACAGGGTATATTTTCATTTATGTATTATTTAATATTATAATAACCATTTTTACATAGTTTATGTTTAATTAATTTTTTTAGCATTGGGTCCGGGGTAGGGTCAAAATGTGCATCAAACACATGATCGAGTTTGCGACCTTTGTGACTATGCTGACAGTAACATTCTTCTACTTTGGTGGAGTTTATTTACTGATCTAAGCATTGCCGAAAATAATTAGTTGAACAGTGATCACACTCTGGCTAAGAATGTGGAAAGCTAAAACAGAGTAAATATAACTCATTCTGTATTCAATGTAACATTTTTTATATATAGTAGTTGTAGTTTACTTGTTAATAATGTTCTGTGATGGAAACAGTTGAAGGCCTTGGAAAGATCACCAAAAATGCCTAAAGCATCTTGTGAATGCTCCATGTATAAAAAAATGTATTTAATAAGCTTAACATCGGCTATAGTTGTCGAGTGATCCCTAAAGAGAGAAGATACAAATATGAAACACATAAAATATACGGGGAGTTTAAACAGATATTTGATGTTTCTGTAATATGTTCTAAATATTAAATTGAACTGGATTTTGATACATAAAAGTACGATTTTGTGTAATAAATGTAAACTATTAGTGGAAATGATGAAAGAAGTGCTCCAATGGTAAAAAGATATAAACGTCATGTTATTACATCTGTTTTGGCACCTAGAGATATGATTATCATTGACTGTCTGCTGTATTGAACAGTTTTGAAAATCTCCTAAAAACGTTACAATGCCTCACTTTAACATATTATGAAGAATTTGTGAAGAAAAACATGTTGTTTACCAAACTAGACATAATGCACCTAGATCCTTTTACCTTTAACAACACTTTGAAATCAATGATAATTTTTCTTTATTAGTTAGTTGTACAAAATATTACAAAGGTCGCTCTATTACCAAGCTTTAATATTGTTTTCTTAAACAAAAACTGTATAAAAAGGGTTATTTTAATATAAACAAATACTTGATTGATAATAACCCCTGGGAATGAGGTAGTCGCTTCCAAGCTGTTTCTTATAGAAGTTTTGTAAGTAATTTGTATAACCTGTATTTTATTGTAAAATTTTACTTTACAAAAAAGGCCTCCGAACCAGTGATGTGAAAAGAGAAAAAAAAGGCTTTCAATAAGAATTACTTGTAATGCATTATTTATATATTGAATAAAAAATACTCTATTCTAATCTACTCTAAATCTTAACTAAACTAATTAATTGGAAAATATAAGTTCTAATTTTAAAGACATAACTTGACTTTCTCAGCTTTAGTTACCCTTTTAAAAATTGCAGGTGGCCTATGTTTGGACATTATTTTTTGTATACTAACTTGTAATGAGCAGCTGTTGGATCTGGACCAACTGTGGCAGCCAAAGCTTGAAGAATATCTGTAGGTCCTCTAGGAATTCGCGGTGGCGGTGAAATACCGTCACTTGAATTGCTATTTTGTGGAAGCTTTTGAGCTTCTACGGTCGAAACCGTTCGACAGAGACATGCGATTCGCGACCATTGTCTAAAAAAAATTAAAAGAAACAAGTATTGAAAACAGTTGTATAATAAAATTTTACTTTGATAGAAATTACACATTATTTATTTTAATACAATGAATTACCTTGGTAAAAATATGTTAGAATACATCGAAAAAATAAATTGGTTTGTTAATATCAATGAGGAACTTTTGTTTCTAAATTACCAATGCTTATGTTTATGTATTTGTTTTTAATAGCAGAAAAGGTTTAATTATTTCGGGTCGCGAAATTTAATTTATAACCTAAAACATATTCTAGTTCTAGTAATATGTCACTGTCATATGTCTTTTTTTAAATGCTTTACGGCTCTGGGTTCTAGCGCTTCTGAGCCTTCATATGTCAATGTCACTCTCACTACATAGATTTTTTAAAGGAGAGGGGGCAAACGAGCATGAGGCTCACCTGATGGTAATTGACTACCGCTGCCCATGAACAACTGCAATACCAGGGGAAAGGACAAAAAGTATTCACAATAAAATATTATGGGTTTTAATAAATTATTTTCTTTTTTTTACACTTGTGGTGAGGAATGAATTGTGGTCAGCATTGTCCGTGAACGGTGTGAGCAGTATCCTCATACGAGCATTGTAATCTCTTTATAGGGATTCTAGTGCTTGTGTAAGGATAAACGGGGCATACAGTGAATGGTTTATCGAAAAAGGTGTTAAACAGGGATGTGTAGCGTCACCGTGGCTGTTTAATCTGTTCATGGACAATTGCTTGCCAGATTTAAAAGAGAATGAAAGTGGGTTGAGAATGAATGAGTTACTCGTCAAATGTTTTCTCTATGCTGATGTCCAAGTACTACTTGCGTTTTCGGTCGAGGTCGGCTTTTGTTAGAAAGGGAATGAAGATGAATGTAAAGAAGACGAAAGTAATGGTGTTTGAAAGAGATGAGGCATTGACAGACTGCAATATCATGATTGGAGAAGAACAAATTGAACAGGTGAAGGAGTTTGTGTATCTGGGTTCAAAGTTTACGAGAGATGGAAAGTGTGAGAGTCATATCAAAAGAAGAGTGAATGCAGGAAACATGGTGAATGGAGCTTTGCACTCCTTTATGAGCAGTCGCAAGGTGTCTAACAAGGCTCGTTTGGCTGTGCATGAGAGGGTGTTGGTTCCGACACTCATGTACGGAAGTGAATGTTGGGTATGGCAGAAGAAACATGAAAGCAGAATAAATGCAGTTGAGATGAGAGCGTTAAGAAGTATGATAGGAGTTAAAATGAGTGACGGGATAAGAAATAGTGAGATAAGGAAACGTTGTGGTCTGAAAGAAGATGTACTTAGTGACAAAAATTGAGAAAGGTATGCTGAGATGGTTTGGCCATGTCGAGAGAATGAATGAAAACGATTGACGAACAAGGTATATAAGGCGAGTGTGAATGAAAGTGTTAGAAGGGGTAGACCTAGGCGGACGTTTCTAGATCAAATTAGGGACGTCTTGAAAAAAGGCCATGTCAAGAGTACCCTTAAAACGAAGAGCATGTATGAAGGGAATAATGAAAGTGGACGAAGCGAAACAAGTATGTAAGGATCGTAGCAAGTGGAAAGAAGTGGTCTCTGCCTACCCCTACGGGAAAGGGGCGTGATTATATGTTTGTATGTATGTATCATAAAATGTTACGTACTTTAAAAAAATACTATGACATGAGATAAATATTTTAAAAAACATCCCCATTCAATCAGCTATCCAAAAAGGTAATAAAATCCTAGTGAAGACATTTATTCATAACGTACAGTCAATTAAACTAATGTGGGTCATTTCTAAGATTTAACATTTTTTTTAACTTTTTTTAAAGACTAGCTGTGCCCGCGGCATAGCCCGCGTATATAATAATAATATTCCACATAATAATAGTAATAATAATATAATATTCCACAACTATCAAACAACGCCATCTAGTCCCAAGCTAAGCAGAGCTTGTGTTATGGGTACTAGACAACTGATAAACATACTTATATATTTTTAAATACATAAATATTATAGATAAATTACACCCAGACACAGAACAAATGATCGTGCTCATCACACAAACATTTGTCCTGGGTGGGAATCGAACCCACGACCTCCGGCGTAGCAGTCAGGGTCACTAACCACTAGACCAACAGGCCAGTCTAATATAATATAGGTTTTACTTATAGAATTTGACATTTAGTTAAGAGAATGTTAAATGATTTATATCATTACTGTATCAATAAGTGGTAACAAAATAAATCGTTATCCTCAAAATTCTAAGTCGTTTATGATAGAGCTGCTGTGAAAGCGACGTTAGAAGGCGACTTAGCCGGGGCGTACACAAAAAGGTTACGGGGCCTACTAACGCTGGAAAAAGCAATATACTCGTAGAGTTGGCCATGAAGTCGTTTATGATAGAGCTGTTGTGTAAACGACCTTAGAAGGCGACTTAGCCGGGGCGTACACAAAAAGGTTACGGGGCCTACTAACGCTGGAAAAAGCAACATACTCGTAGAGTTGGTCATGAAGTCGTTTATGATAGAGCTGCTGTGTAAACGACATTAGAAGGCGACTTAGCCGGGTTGTACACAAAAAGGTTACGGGACCTACTAACGCGGGAAAAAGCAACATACTCGTGGCCATGAAGTCTTTTATGATAGAGCTGTTGTGTAAACGACCTTAGAAGGCGACTTAGCCGGGGCGTACACAAAAAGGTTACGGGGCCTACTAACGCTGGAAAAAGCAACATACTCGTAGAGTTGGTCATGAAGTCGTTTATGATAGAGCTGCTGTGTAAACGACATTTTTTTTTATAGGTTAAGGGTGACAAACGAGCACACAGTCCACCTGATGGTAAGTGGTTGCTGCGGCCCATAGAAATCTACATCTATCCTCATTTGCGAATCAAAATGCAGATGCGTTGTCACCCGTGAGGACTAAGATGGAATGCCTCATTTCCAGTAAAAAGGGCCTCCGGCCACCTGCACTCACCAAGCGAAACGCAGAGGTAAACCTCTATTTCACGCTGGTATTCTGTGAGGTCGTGGTACCACCCCGGTTCGAGCCGGCCCATCCGTGTGACAGCAAAAGCTGAAGGAAGAAGAAGAAGGCGACTTAGCCGGGTTGTACACAAAAAGGTTACGGGACCTACTAACGCGGGAAAAAGCAACATACTCGTAGAGTTGGCCATGTGCAAAACAATACTGAGGTCCACTCCTGGAACGCGTAAAGTTTGACCTTGCGCTTTATTTACGGTCATCGCATAACAACATACGCTGTGACTGGGAACTGAACACGCTTAAAACTGAAAGGAATTTTTTTTGGTATTAGAGGGATTCTGGCTATAAAAACAATATTGCGACATTTTGTTGCAATTTTGATACTTTTAATCGAGTTTCGTTGTATGGGCGTGTTTCTTCTCTGGTTTCTGGTGATATTTGTGCTTTTAGCCTACACGGTTCTTTCAACTTCATCGTACTCATAGGGCACAAATTTCTTCAGTGAGTCTCACTACGATTCACTGGCGAAAAATTCAGAACAGACCGCAATTCAGAAAAGGTGCAACGTCATCTATTACGTTCTTTGTGTTTTTAAAGGAAAACATTTTTTTTGTTTACTGTGTTTTAAGTATAAATATATTATATTAGAACGTTTTTTTTACACATGAATCTTTTTATTACTATTTCTGAGATTTTATGCCGCCTTTAAACAGATTCGAACCTAGATTTCAAAATAATAATCATAACTTTCGATAGAATTAACCAATTTTAATAAAACAAAGATTAAAAATAAACTCGAGAATACGCCTTATGATTTTTGACTTCTTTGAAAAAAGATGTTTATTCAAAACGTGATGCGTTCATAAGGACACAGACAGACCGACAGACAGACAATTCTAAAATATATAAAAATGTACTTATTTAATGATTTTCAGCCCCCATAATGATTTAGCCACAAACATACTATACAATGCACTTCGATCAACAAATGCACAGCAACAGACACAACATGTTGTTACTATTTTGTGTTTATTGCAAAAATATAAAATGTACAGATGTCTGCTATTTACATTTTTATTATATGTATAGATAGGTTAAATATCTTGCTCAATATTAGCCCCTTGGTTGCGGATACACGTCCTGATTCTTTTCCTAACTTCTATTTTCGTTATTTTTGAAGATATTGTAGCTCTAATCTGCTCTGCTACATTTAAGATACGCCTTTGAAGTTCTTCAAGAGAATTCACTGGGTTCACGTAGACTAAATCGTTCATGTGACCCCAAACGTAGAAGTCTAGTGGCGTCAGATCAGGACTTCGTGCAGGCCACTGAATTAGCCCTCCCTCCCAATCCCTGTTTGGGTATTGGCTATTTACATTTAGCCATTCTCGTACAGATAACTGAAAGTGAGTTGTACAGCCGTCATGCTGATAAATTAAATTTCTTTTAATTTCTTCTGGAACATCTAATACGTTTTTAAAATCATTTCGCAAAAATTTTTCGTAAATTTCCTCGTTTACATTTTGTGGTATAAAATAAGGCCCAATAAGTTTGTCATTTACAATTTACATTCAAAGAAAATCTGCGCTGTGACGTTGTTACCTTAAGTTAAGTTATCCCGAATTCATGGAAGACAGCTTTTGTCCACCCGATCCCTAAAAAAGGCGACCGCTCAGACCCATCCAACTATAGGCCTATCGCGATCACCTCCTTGTTCTCCAAAATAATGGAATCCATTATTAACTGCCAGCTAATCCGGTACCTTGAGGATCACCAGCTGATTAGTGACCGCCAATACGGTTTTCCTCGGGGTCGATCAGCTGGTGATCTTCTGGTCTACCTGACCCATAGATGGGCGGAGGCAGTAGAGTCCAAGGGGGAGGCGTTGGCCGTTAGTCTGGACATTGCGAAGGCCTTCGATCGGGTTTGGCACAAAGCGCTTCTTTCGAAGCTCCCTTCCTATGGGCTTCCCGAGAAATTGTGCAATTGGATCACCAGCTTCCTTGCAGATCGGAGCATCAAGGTCGTTGTAGACGGTGCATGCTCTGACTACAAGCCTATTAACGCTGGTGTTCCACAAGGCTGTGTGCTATCACCAACGCTGTTTCTTCTGCATATCAATGATATGTTGCTAACTGGTAACATTCATTGCTATGCGGATGACAGCACTGGTGATGCTCTATACACCGGCCGTGCCAATATTTCTCGGGAAAACGTCGCTGAGTACCGGAACAAACTTGTGTCTGAAGTCGAGTCTTTGCTGAACAAAGTCTCGGATTGGGGGCGACTAAATCTAGTCCAATTTAATCCTCAGAAGACACAAGTTTGCGCGTTTACCGCTAAAAAGAACCCCTTTGTCGTATCTCCTCAGTTTCAAGGCACTCCCCTTCTTGCCTCACCCAGTATCGGTATCCTCGGAGTCGACATATCGAGTGACGTGCAGTTTCGTGGTCACTTGGAAGGGAAGGCCAAATTGGCCTCTAAAAAGCTTGGCGTGCTCAGCAGAGCGGGACAGTATTTCATGCCGGCACACCGCCTGCTACTTTACAAGGCGCAAGTTCGGCCTCACATGGAATACTGTTCCCATCTCTGGGCAGGGGCTCCCCAGTGCCAGCTCCTTCCACTTGACCGCATCCAACGCAGAGCGGCTCGAATTGTCGACGACCGAGCCCTTTCCGATCGGCTCGATTCATTGGCACTGCGAAGAGATGTTGCATCCCTTTGCATTTTCTTTCGCATCTACCATGGGGAGTGCTCTGAGGAATTGTTCGGATTAATCCCAGCCGCCAAATTTCACGAACGCACATCGCGGCAGAACTCCCGATACCATCCACACCATCTGGATGATTGGCGGTCCACCACTGTGCGATTTAGAAGATGTTTTCTTCCTCGCACGACCTCCTTGTGGAATCGATTACCATCAGCGATTTTTCCGGACCGATACGACTTAGGGACCTTCAAGAAAAGAGCGTACTCCTTTTTAAAAGGCCGGCAACGCATCTGCGATTCCCCTGGTGTTGCAGTTGTTCATGGGCGGCGGTAGTCACTTACCATCAGGTGAGCCGCATGCTCGTTTGCCCCCTCTCCTATAAAAAAAAAAGTTTTTTTGGATTTTTGTCCACTTTCAGTGCCGAGTAATGTAGTTTGTAATACCATCTCGGTCAAATTTGGACTCATCCGTCTACAGAAAGTTTCTTAAAAACATTTCTTCGTCTGCGTCGGCGTTCAGCATGAAACGACAAAACTGGAGTCTACTCGCTGGATCGCCCTCGTACAGCGTTTATACCGGTTGGTAATGGTGCGGATGTCAGCCTGACAGGTACACCACCGACTATATTTTCCACTGGGATATACCGAGCCAGCGTGCTACAATAATAATTTTCGTTGAGATGTTAGGGTCGTCAATAAAATGTTTCATAATTGTTTCTACATCGTCAGCCGTAAAACGTCGTGGTCTGCCAGTATCCACTTGATTTCTGTGAATAGTGCCGTTTTAGGATTATTAGATAGGTAGCTCCGAGGACAGAAACGTGGGGAAGCCAGCGATCAGGAAAGCGACGTTGATATTTTCTACGGTGCCCAGCAGCGTTGCCGTCAGCAAAAACATAACAGTACATGATGTCGGCATATTCTTTATTAGAAAATGACGCTCTCTAACTGTGTAACTTAACAAAGTATAATTAAAAATTAAAAATTTTGTACAGCCGACTTCAATATAAGCGACTTCAATATAAGCGACTTCAATATAGGTTATTTAAGAATAACTCAATAACCATTGGTCTGACCTTGATCAAATTCATATGGGACCACACGAGAACTATCAGCTTTCATATAAAAAAGAATCATCGAAATCGGTTCGCCCAGTACAAAGTTATGAGGTAACACACATAAAAAAAAACAAACAGTCGAATTGAGTACCGTCTGCTTTTTGGAAGTCGGCAGAAAATACCCTTTTGTTATTATTATGCATTGACTTCACCGGGATATTATTACCTTTTTGGATAGCTAATTGAATGGGTTTGTTTTTTAAACTATTTTTATGTCTCATGTCATAGTAATTTTTTGAAGTACGTAACATTTTATGATAAATGAAGTGTAAAAAAAAGAAGAAAAAAGAATTTATGAGACCCATAATTTTTTGTTGTGAATACTTTTTGTACTTTTTATGATTGTATTCGCTTGGATGAAGCTTCAAGAAAATAAATAAACCTAAAAGAAAGCATACAAAAAAGGTTTTATTTTTATTTAGAATTTAATACGAAATTCTGGGTGATTACTGAAAAATCTTTAAACTCCGTATATCTCAAGACCTTTTTACTTTCGGTCATACAAAGGTTGGGGGGAAGGGGGTCAATTTGTAGCATTTTGACTTCCCTATCACGCCCTGCCAGGAAGTTGTCTAGTTCCCAGTAACCCTGTATATTATTTTGTATCACCATTTACCATCAGGTGGGATAGCAATCAAGCACTGATTTGTAATAGTGAAGAAATAAATGATGAGTACCTAGTATTTACGAAATTTTAATATTAATGTTTGTTTAATATTGTTAATACATTATAAGTATTTTGTGGAATTATTGAATAAAAGCAACATTTTTAATACGCAATATTTTTTTAAATATATTTATACACTAGACATACCTACATCTATTTCACTACCTATATTGATTGTTTATTCGTCAGTGCGCTGGTCAAAATGACGTCTTTAGTTTTTACCGCCCCCACAGAATATTTTAACCCCGGCGAGACGAGACTTTAGTATTCGTATTCATTTCCCCATTGAAAAAGTATCTATCCGTTTTACTCAGTGTTTCGCTGTGAATTAATATTCACAAAAATTTTCGTCATCTTCTTGTATAGGTTTCTAAGAAAAACGTTTGTAAGAGACAAAAGCCGATTTCAAAACTGTTTCCCTACTTTTGGCACAAAAGAATAAAAATATTTTTTTTTCTAAATTTTGTACAAAGATTTTATTGCCGTTAACTGAGGAGTAAAGAAAAATAAAACAATGATTTATCACTGCTTTATTGCGTAAAACATAATTGAAATAGAAAACAATTTAATAATATTAAGAGTTGTGATTGAAGCTTTATTAACAGTGAAATTACCTGAAAACTTCGGTACATGGTTTATTAACACCGTGAGCACTTTCGGTGATTTATTGCATTTATGCAAAGTTTCATTGACACATGAATTTTCAGTTAGGTTGAACACTGTTCCTTGCGGGCATTCGATCAATCTTGGTGCAACCAAACCACTTATACCTTCCACACAAGATATAAATGCTCTGCAATTTTCCGTTGAATCAGCCTCAAAATTTCCTACTGCGGTACAATTGTAATCCGGAAAGCACTTGTAACTGGTAACATTAGTACAGAGGTTTTCTATATGGCTGAATATAAATGTTTCAGGACAGGTGAGATTGTATTCCATGTATCCAGCGGCCCCACTTATACACATAGTAAAACCGCGACACTCGTCGTATTGATTAGGGAATCTTCCTTGTGAAGTGCATTGGCCGGCTTTGCTTACGCCTTGACTTAATAACTGAAATCAAAACATACATCATTTAATAACACATGATTTTAAAATCTGTAGTTTCGGACTCAATGGATACTAGGGAGCTCAAAACGTGAAGTTGTGATAAAATTTGGATTTCAAAAAATCAGACCCATCACATTCATATGGGAATAAAATCTATTTAATAAAAGCTAGTTCTATTTTAAGCCATTGTGTTTAGATTTTGGAAGAAAGACGTAGAGAACAGGGTTAGTATATATTATATCAGAGAAGATAAATTTAAGAGGGAGGTGCTATGCAAGTGGTATTTAATAGGTTGACTATCTTAATTAAGGCTGTTTTTTGGATTTCTTTCTAAATTGGTATAAAGCTAGAAAGACAAGTTTTATATAATGACTGACTTGACATTGGCAGAATTCTCTTAAGAGAAGTAATAAAGTAAAGAAGAAGATTCACAATGTGCACTAGCTGATTCTTATTATGTTGCCATAACAAACATACCAAGATGCAACTTTTGTGACATTAGATTTTTCACCAAATTCACCATCTAACATTTTGTATCAGTAAAGAATTTCGTACTGCTCTTTCAAGATAATATTTTTTACTTCCCGGCTTTCTTTGCCCATTAACATATTTTCCTTGTTTCAGTTAGTTACATTACAGTACTTAATGAAATTTACATACAGATATAACTTACAATGTTTTCCTAACAAGATGTGTAAGATTAGCGAGTTGTAAAGATTAACAAAGAGAGTACATACTATATACTTATTATACGCTTTGGCACCTACTACAGTATTTATTTAGCTTAATGATGACCCATCTACAATATAAAAATGAATCGCTGAATGTGTTGTTAAGCGCAAATCTCGAGAGCAGCTGAACCGATTTCGCTAATTCTTTTTTTTATAATATTCCTTGAAGTACGAAGATGGTTCTTACGGAGAGAAAAATTAAAAAAAAAATGCCTGAAAAAGTCAGATACAGAAGATTCGTAATAATACTTAGAAGTCAATTTGAACTTTAATACCATACCATAAAGTTTAAGTGTTAGTGGAGGGGTTCCGGGAAAGCAAAACAATTGAGTGACGTTAGTATCGTATAATATTAATGCCAATATTTGTCAATATTTATAAGATGGTAACATAACTCAAAAACAAAATTAGGGTTCCGCGTAAAAAAATGATATTCATGAAATCGTAGTAAATCAACGCGCGCGAAGTCGCGGGGCACAGATAGTTTCTTTAAATATTTTTAAGATACGGTTCTTGACGAGTGGTTACGTGACTTAGCTTTGTTTTTATATATTATTTATCTCCACGCCTCGTAGAGATTGTTTTCCTTGTTTTATTGAGATATGAATTATATAAACAAGACTGTGCAACACAAACACAGGATTATGCTTTTCACGCGAACTGGGTGTGTAGGTATGTGGGATTCTTCAGTAAGTACCAGAAGAATCCTACTAGTGCGATAGTAAATACAAATATAGCGTAAAATACAAAATAGCGATAGAGGCGAAAAATTAGATATTGCGTAATTTATATTGAGTGGCATATCACTGAATAGGTCTTTTATACGTGGTAGAGCCATGCTGCAGCTATATTAGTAGTATAATTGTAGCACGAATGGGTCGGCTCGACCGGGGAAGAACCACGCTCTCACAGAATACCAGCGTAAAATAGCAGCTTAACACTGCTGTGTTTCGTATGGTGAGTGTAGAGAACCGGAGACCCTTTTTACTGGAAAAGAGGCATTCCATCTTAGTCCTCACAGGTGCATCAGCAATCTGCATTTTGATTCGCAAACGAGGATAAATGTAGATGTCTATGGGCCACAGCAACCACTTACCATCAGATGGATTGTGTGCTCATTTGTCAGTCTATCCTATTAAAAAAAGGTCTTTAATCAAATGAAGTTTAATCAAATGAAGGAAACTTCATTTGATTTTTAACTACCGTTTTTATAGAATACTAGTATCCGCCCCGACTTCGCACCGGTGATTTCTGGATCTCGACAACTGCGCCACCTACCGTACCCAATTATGAATCGTTTAGATCATGCAGGGATCCACACAAAAAAAATTCATCAAAATGGGTCGAGCCTTTTTCTAGTTTTAGTGAAACTATCGGACAGCAATTGATTGAGATTTTACAGCCATAACAGTTGGTAAGAAGTCCGTTCCGTTTCTGTCTAAGAATTACATATCCAGAAAGTTATTTAGGTAAGATCTCTACCTATTTCTTGTTTGTAACTTGTCCATAAAATACATCTTGTATTAGATCACAGTCGTCTTATTTGTTTGTTTTTATCTTGTGAATCGTTTTTTTTTTAAATTAGACGATTTGGTAAGAGAAAGTAGATGGATGACGGTGGTTCGGGACAGAGTTTTATGGCATTTCCCCTTAAAACTGGGTAGGACACATCATTTTCTTTCTTTCTTTACGCGGAATTAAGCAAATTAGTTTATAACCACCCCATTGAAATTTTAAGGATTCTTTCAATAACAGCAAATGGATAAAAACGAGAGGTGGAAAAGAAAATATCAAAAAGCAAATTACTTACGCAGGTAATGATAAATAACCACTTACGCGTCATGTTAGAGGTTTTGAATTAATTTGGCATGGACAAGTAAGCAACACAAAAATCTGACTCCGTGGCCTTTATCACAAGCTAATAGAAGTGCTTATTAAATATTACTGCCTTGTACTGTGTATTTTTTTTAAAACCAAATAAGGTTTAATTAACAGTAAGAATTGCGAAATACTATACACTACAAAAGCCGTATACTAACTAACATAATGCGTTGTCTATAAAAGACAATAAAGTAGTATCGATATATCCATCACTATTTAACAAGCTAAGATAGGTATCATTACCACCGTTTACTTTGGTGAATAAAGAGAGCTTTTTTTTTAAAAATTTTCCTGGTAATATTTGGCGGCTTGGTATATGGTCAGAGATTGGTATGTATTTAAATAACGAGTATTGTCAGGAAATAAGTTATTTTAAGATAAATATGTTTTGATTTTTATGAGTACATTTACGATTTGTATCTTATACGAGTATATTATACACTAGCTGGCACGGCAAAATGTTATTTTGCCCTTTTCTGTAGGTAGTTTTCTACGTGGTAGAGCCATGCTGCAACTATATTAGCAGTATAGTTTTAGCACGAATGGGTCGGCTCGACCGGGGAAGGACCACGCTCTCACAGAATACCAGCGTAAAATAGCGGCTTAACTGCTGTGTTTCGTATGATGAGTGTAGAGAACCGCAGACCCTATTTACTGGAAAAGAGGCATTCCATCTTAGTCCTGGTGTGGTGGGTGACAACGCCACTGCATTTTGATTCGCAAACGAGGATAAATGGCCACAGCAACCACTTACCATCAGGTGGACTGTGTGCTCGTTTGTCACCCTATCCTATAAAAAATAGCGTGATGAGTTATATTTCAATATAAAATTTATTATATACTCGACCAAAGCGGTCTATCAGGTCCAGACTTTGTAATTATTTTCGTGACACTAAGTAAATCAAATTGGTTCATAAATATAGAACTTGTTAATAACTTGACTAAAGCATTACCTATTGGATCCTAGAATACATTCGAACCATCGTCTCGACACATTAAAATTATGCGATATGACTTCAATCGGTCAAGTATACGGTGTAAATATTTTTTTTATAGAAGAAGAGTGACAAACGAGCACACAGTCCACCTGATGGTAAGTGGATGCTGTGGCCCATAGACATCTGCATCTATCTTCGTTTGTGAATCAAAATGCTGATGCGTTGTCAGCCCTGAGGAATAAGATGGATGCCCCGTTTCCAGTAAAAAGTGTCTCCGGTTCTCTACACTCACCACACTCACCACACGAAACACAGCAGCATTAAGATGCTATTTTATGCTGGAATTCTGTGAGAGTGAGGGTTCTACCCTGGTTGGTGTCATAAATGTAGATGTCTATGGGTCACAGCATCCACTTACCATCAGATGCACTGTGTGCTCGTTTGTCACCCTTATTCTATCTTAATTTTGGATGTTTGTAGAACATCTTGGACTATTTTACGTGAAATTTACCGAAGTGTGAAAATTACCGATAAATGTATATATTACTTGTATTACGAGAAATCCATTGTCAAATAAAAGTCATTGAAATTATTGGTTTCAATACCATATTTTATAATTGAAGTATAAAAGACAATTGTCGACACAGGGACGTTACTATATTAGTATAAGATAAGGGGGTAATTGTTTGTTTGTGAGTCTTGCTTTATGTACTTGCTTTATGGTAAGATTGTATGTTACGATCTTTCACGTATCTTGCACTAGGTACATTCTTTGTATAAGGGTGTTACCACACCAATCGATCAATCATCGATCGATGGTGGAATGGATTAGACGACGTCGATCGATAGTTTCTACCGAACTTATATATCTTATTTCACTTTTACATACACAATACTTTGAAATAAAGGTCCGCTAACGCTTTTATATCAATTGAGCCTATTTTCATCCTCCACGGTTCGTCCTTTTTGATAGCGAGGTAGAAGATAATTATGTAAATCTTACTCCTTATACAACATATGATCGGATAGGACGAAGACAATTACAATAAATTTTTATTTAACACTTTTTAATTTGTTTCAATATATTTGTTCTAAGGGATTCGAAGACTGGGCTGGACTTGCTGGTATTTTAACCATTTAGCCCCTCGAAGAACCTCAAAGTGTGAAAGAGATATAGTAGCCATTTTATTTTACTAAGCAGGATTGGAAAATAATAAAAACGTAAATGGCTAGATTTAGGAACGGCTTGTTAAGTCATTTGAAAGTACACAAAGCCGAAATATAGATTATAAAGTTGTGCACTGGTTCAGTATCGGAGTGGCATTGATGGTGAATTAAGAAGTTTCATCTATATGATAATTAGTGACCGACCGAAGATTCGGTTTCGGTTTCGGTTTCGGCAAGTTTCGGCAAAAAATTCTAGTTTCGGTAATAGTTTCGATTTCGGCAAAAAATCTGCCGAACCTTCGGTGGCGCCGAAACTCAATGTTCGTGTGCCATGGCCTCCGCGTATTGGACTCGGGGAGGTCCAATACGCAGGTGGAGTTGGAGACCGTGGAGAGGGTCGCGCGTTGTGTTTCTGGTGCGCCTTACCTGAGAAGGAGAATGGAGAGGAGAGGTCCTCCCCCGAGAAGGGGCTGCCATGGGGCCGCCGGCGTTGGTGGGGCCGCGGATGTGTGTTAAAGCGTTCCCGTGGCCCCGCCAATAAGCAGCGAAGGTGGGTTTTAGTCGGTGCGAGTCCGACATAATCCGTCCTTGCCCCCGCGAGGCGAGTATGTATAGGCATTTCCGCATGTAAAAAAAAGTTTCATTGGCTTCGCAGCCGCACTTAAGATGGGCTTCTTGCGAGGCCCCAAACAAACACACTTAAATTTGTGACTTTCTTTTTCAAAAGTGATCAAATTAATTAGTCATATGTGGTAAAGGGTATCGCATTTTTGAGGGCCTCGCGAAAATTTTTAAGAGTGATCTAAATAAACATTTCTATAGAAATTGTATGCGCATATTGTGTAATGATGTCATATTTTTTTATAGTTTAAAAATCATCCTATTGTAAATTTGTAACACTAAACATCTTGTTTATATTTTAAATTGAAAATCGACTAAGTTTTAAGACACTTCTAAATGTGGTATATTTAACTTATGTGATACAGTTATTATTATTTGCTATGGTTGTGTCAATTACCCAACTGTGTTATAGACGTTGGCACCATTTCTAAGGTGTTTTTCCGATACATATACTTTCCTTCAAACCCATGAAAAACTACTTTAGTGCACTCGGTTCCACAAAATGGCGGTTGTTTAAATCTGTCAAACCGTCAATTACAGGCATATTCGTCTCCTTGTTTCCTAAAACAGTAAGTTTTTATTCTAAAAAGTTTTATTCTATATTGCCGCACCTACGTTAAATTCTCACTACTACATGGGTTGACCGGTAGAGAATGCCTCAAGGCATTAAGTCCGCCCTTTGTATTCTTTTGTTCTAAGGAATGGAGTAAAGAATAAATAAATAAGTAAGCTTAAACTTTTAGCTCATGCGGTATCTTAAAGAGGACTAGCTGATTAGTGATCGCCAATACGGTTTCCGTCAATTAATATAAATATAAGACGAATCTTTAATGGATCGTTGCGTGTCAACGGTGATTTAAAATTACACGTCGCTTTTCAGTTTAGACATTTCTCGCGCGTTCAACGAAACAGTGTGTGTCGTAAAGACACGATAGTAGTGAAACTTTTGTATTATAGGGAAACATTTCAGTTATTCATCAATGACTTTTGAATAGCATAGATTGTGCATATATCATTCATTTATTTACATAAAATTTTATACATATGTGTCATAGTACTTCATCTTCTTCGATCTTAAGAAGAGAAATTATCGGTTTATGATAAGTAATGAAAACTCTCGATTCTAAATTCTCTAGAAACCGTGAGATTGATGCACCATTCTGTTGCTGTTTCATGATTATGTTGGTGAATTGTTCATCCTCAATGATAGTTTCTCTTCCACAAACTGAATTAATGGTTTTGCATCATCTGAAGCAAAATTGATGTTGAAGTCTCCTACCAGAATAATAGGAATTTCATCGAGCTTTACTCCAAGTTCTGCGGCCCTACTGTATATCTTAATAAGTGTAGGTGAATGAACTTGATAATTATTGCAATACTCTGTTTCGGTGAATTATATAGTGCAATAATCATAATTCGTTGACCACTCTCTGTGCGACATTCTACTGCTCATATTTCTCCAACAGATGATAAACCAACAGAAAGGGATTCCATTTGTTATAAGTTTAGATCTCCATTAGGTGTCACAATGTTAGTTCGATGAGCCGTTCTGTGGTGTATTGCTACTTCATCTGCTCTTACATTCTGTCGTTTGAAGTGGACAGCACAATTGAAGTTTGAAATATTTATATGGTCTTTATTTTCCATTCATGTCTCTGAAATTATCAGTATATTACACCGTTGTATGACTGGATCTTATAGATCTGCACTATGAGCACGTAAGCTTTGACAATTGAAGGTTAGTTATTATTAAGCCTGGTCTGCTAATGCAGTCTTTCAAACATCAAGTCGGTTAATTTGTGACTGACTTTGACTACCTGACTCGACGGAGACAGTTAAGATCAAAGGCTGAAGAGGCTAGATATAGTTATGGCCCACGATCGAGTTTTCACAAAGCATTTTTTTCGAAGCTTCTTTCCTATTGTCTACCCGAGAAATTTGTAATTGTGCAAACAGATATCGAACAAATCGGAGCATCAACGTCGTAGTCGACGGTGCACGCTCTAACGCTAAGTCTGCAAATGCTGGTGTTCTAAAAGACTGCATGCTACAGCTGACTCTGCCTTTTGCATACAAATGAAATGTTGCAAACCAGTAACATTTATTGCTTTGTGAATAATAGCACCAGTGATACGTTAATAGACCGGCTACGCCTATATTTCTCTGTCTCAAGTCGAATTTTTGTTCAACAAAGTCTTTGGTTGGGTTCTATTAAATCTGGTCTCTGCGTAACAGA